CCCATTTCTTTGTGCTATGATGTCTGTCTTGAAAAAGTCACTAAATTTGATATCAAGAGAAGTATTATTCTTAATGAGTTTTCTGTTCTCCCCCTTGGATGTCAACAATATTTCATTGTCCGCCAGCTTTGAAAGTACTCTATTTTGCTCCTGAAAAATACTAGCATCAATATCGGTCAAGTTCAGTTGACAAGGCAGGCTACATCGGAGACGAAAATGAAGCTTCTTGTCAAGGAAATCTGTAGCTACTGTTTTACCAACATGAACAGAAAACACAGTCTTTTCATTTTCAACATCAGGATCATTACAGCAGTTCAAAAACTCCACTTCAAAGTGACCATCCTTTGTGACTTTGCAGACAATAACTTTTTCAGTTTCACCATTTAAAACTTTTGGAATCTGTGGAACTAGAATATGCTTGGCTAATCTACAAAGGGGCTCTTTGATTTCGTCCAGGAAATAGTAGATACCTACTATGCCGAAGCCTGTAGGAATGCTTACCATGATTTGATTTATTTCTTGCTCAATTGCACAGGGTACATCATGATTTGCGGCCTCATGGTGATAGTGGATTGACTTTACAGTTGCTGGGTTCCGAATGTCAATATTTTGACAGTTAATGACACTCGCAATATCAAAATTATCTTTTTCTAAGCCTCCTAAAAAGATTCCCCATGACTGATCCGAAGAACACAGCCTTCTCTGGACGGACTCATCGATATTCACTGCTACATCACATTCACTTTCATTCGCCATTTTCAAAATGATCAGTACGTGTAAGTACCTCTTGCCGAATACGAGGTTAAACCAGGGGTTATTCGCAGAAAAATTTTCAACACCACAAATAAATCACTGGAAATTTTTTGGTAACTTTTTAACTCTATTTTGGAGAAAAACCAAAAACAAAGGTATTATTAGAACAATTGTACCTTAAAAATATATTCATTTTTATATGAAACGGTAGGCTCAAGTTTTCGAAAAAACCATACCCAAATTGAAAAAAGCTAAGAAACGTTTAAAATAATTTGCAGTTTTAATTTTCTGAGTTGACACTCGAAACAGTCTCGACATTGAACATCACTGTATTGATGAATTCAAGTTGACGTCATCAATTTTGTATCTCGCTATCTACGGATCTTTTTCGAAAATGGACTTCAGAATTGAAATCTTCATCTTTAAATGAGTTTATATTGAAAAATTCATGTTGTTTGGTCGCATGTTACTTTGACTTAACATCCAGTTTGCATTCATTCCCAGTAAATTGCACACTCAAGAAGTTTCCATTTAGAAATTTGTTTCGACTTCAACTTGACATTGATGAAGTTCAATGAGCCATACTGTTTACAGATCTCAACAGAGTTAGTTACTCTAGAAAAAACATAATTCATTGATCACTTTGTTAGTTTATAACTGAATGTGAGTGAACTGTTTACTTTAACTTGAAAGCAAGTTTTAAAAATTCATTACCTAAAAAATTTAAGAAACATTTAAGAAACTTTTGAAAGCAAAATGGCCAAAAAATTTAAGAAGCTGCCTAGCAGCACCGGACCTTAGTTTCATATAAAAAAAATACATATAAGTCTTCCTTTTGACTTCAGGGTCGGTATTGACGTTCTATTTTGACGGGATATAGGGCGTGGTGCGTTTTACCCAATGAGGATACAAATACTCAAAAGAGAGTAAAATTCGTGCCGAATAGCAGGGCCCAACCCCCTAGAATCTATGCACATGAGTGGTAGGTAACTGAGAAATCCTAAAAACCTTGTTAGACAAATGAAACACCAAAATACCTGTATCACAGACATAACAAAAGTGCATGAAAAATATACTCGGATCTGGACATCACATATCTGGCATTATAGCATCAAGATGTGGTCAATTCTACGGATGTTGTATGAAAAATATAAAACTGGCATAGTTGGTTATGTCAACATCAATAAAGGTGTATATCCGTATCTTATGCAAGCGTTGACTAGGATGCTAGCTGTAGATTCGCATGAGTGGATGCAATCTTTTGAAAATATCCATGTAAAGAAGTATCTTCGTCATCTGTACCATACTAAATCTTTACCTACGTGCATTCCAATTTGCTGATGCTTGAGATGTGGAGTTCTCAAACTTGGGCGGTTAACCTTGGAAAAAATTACGGGGATTTGCCTTCCACAGTAATTTTGTTGACCCTTTCCTGGAGAATAAGTATCTGTAAACCTGTCCCGGGATAGCTTTTATTTCAAATTTGAGTTTTAAGAGAATAACGCTAAAGAATGAGAAACATTTTCATTTTCGTGACAAACCTGACCTGTCCAGGAAAAAGTATCTTTGAGGGACATACTCTTGCCAAAAAATAGAGACAGAAGGTATAACCTTTTCAGAGGGTAGTCAGTGTATTACGTAAATCACTGGGCTATCGTCCAAATGCAATTTTTACTCTAAATGTAAACAAAGAAGATAAACAGCCAAGATCAAAAGTAAAATGTTATAAGATTTAGGACTGGCTGGCTAAAAGCTATAACTCTCCAGTTGTGTTTAGTTTATGTTTTGATTTGAAAATCCTTTAGTTTTACCAGACGATTCTTTATATTTTGCAAAAATTGTTTCCAGGGGGTCGAATTTTTTTACAACAGCACAAAATTGGAATCACAACACCACAAATCAAGTTTACAACCCTGCTACAAACAGTATACCGCATGAGGTCTGACATATTCAAGAACCAAGAAACAGTGAAATATAGTCTTTTTATTTGAAATGATGACCTTAAACTAACTCAATAAATTGTCCCTGGAGTTTCCTTGAACACACAAGCTTTGATTTGGTTAATTTTCTTTTATCTAGTTTTGAAATTGTTCCCTTGTTTAGTTTCGAAACCTTCAGAAACTTTCGAAACATTTAGCATTGGCGGGTACCGACAATAGAGTTCTTAAAAAGGATTTTAGAGCTTTTAACTTTGAGTCACATATCCCAATAGAAAACAACCAATTATCACTAAATATACAAAATAAGTACACTATGCTACTAATATGAAGTGATATGACGGGACGGTATCAAGTTTTGAAGTTTGCTTCAGATCTCTGCTGTTTTGGCACAGTTCATCGAGACAAAATTACAGTGGTTTTACGGGGATAGAGCTTGTGCTCCTGTTGCCATATCACAGTCAGTTTTTAACACATCAAGCTGATTTTGCACATTTAGAGATCTTCCAGGATATGTGATCCAAATTCAAATATTTTAAAAACAGCTTTTTGTAATTGCAAACAACTCTACGAGAGTTATTAATAATGCGGAGGAGAATCCATCGTCATCAATGGAAACAATGATTTTTTTAAATAATATCAGAATTATGCCAAAGTCATGCTAGATTCCAAATTATTCTAGATTTTAGGCTAAATGACGATTTTTGGCCAATATTATGCTAACATTACGCTAGATCAGGTTACACTGGCACCAGCCCACAAGGGAGTGGCTGGAACGGGACTAGGAGACTTGCCCCTAAATTTTTACGGTCACGCCCTTTGAAATACCGGAAAACATTCTTCTCAGAATTTTTTTGCCTCTTTCTGTCCCTATTCATAAATATAACGATTTAGAGAAGATTTCAATAAACATAAAAATACAAAACCGAGTTAGATAAAATACAGATTTATCTTTAACCACACAAGATAAAGCACCATCAAAAAGAACAAAAACGTGTTCCCTGCAGAACTGCTACTAATGCGTTTGTTAGCGTAAACTTTCAAAACATTTTCTAACCTTTAATTGCAAAAAGGTTGGGGAGGACTATAGTCCCTGTCCTGTAACATTCCCAATTGAATGTTCCTCCCAGCTACCACCGAGAGGCTTATCGTCGTTCAGCTGCTGTAGCCTTGAGAGGAATCTTTCCAATGCTTCTCAAATTTAAAACATCTTAGTTGAATTGCTTTTTAACACTTTCTGACATCTACTAAAAGATATCACATATAAACCCCAAAATACATTACGGGCATGAAATCATAATCTCGGTCTTGGTCTTTAGGCTCAGTGTATTTTTTGAAGCAAGTCGTAAAAACAAACTAAATTGAGGTGATATCTTGAAGTTAAAGCTTACTTCAAAATAGCACACAACAATATCAAAAAGCGCAATTGATTTTTCTCCGCATGTCCTGGAGCTTCGGGCTCTGAAGTTTCTTAATTCTCCTTTATTGTCCATTGCTTCTTACTTATTGCAATTTTCTTATAAAAATGAGTGCAATATATAAGGCTGGGAATGGGCATTTACTTCGAATTGAAGAAATGTTCCCACTTCTTTCTTAGGCGTTTCAATTGATATTTTATGCTGCACTTTTAAGAACATGCATTCTTTACAAATCCACACTTTCTACAATTACAGTTCTACAATTGTAATTTACAATTCCACAAAGTGAGTCAGATCCACGCTTATTTTAGGCCCTACCCTAAGCCCCCTTCTCTCTAGTTTGGTTCCTGTTGAAATCCTCAAAAAGTTGTCCGCATCAAAATCAATCCTAACCGAAGTATCAGGGCACTGGGCTCGAAAACCTTTTTGGCGAATTTAGGCCATGACTTTGAGAGGGGTGTGACGCTTGTCCTGAAAGACCGTGATGACAATGAAAATATCAGAGGATAATATAAATAGAGAACGTGGTGATTGCCTTTCATTTTTGCGAATCAAAGGTTGCAAAACTTTTCAGCCTTTTCAGCGCGACCTTCTACCCAGTCCTTTTTCAATCTACGCGAGAAAATATTAGGTTAAATGTTGGATCATTTGACCACAAGAGCCTTTTTTAACATACTAGCTAGGAGGGACATGGCCCCCCACTTTTCTTGCTAACTATAAGTATTAAATTCCTCTTTTAAGTATTGAATAGGTAACCCCCCTTTTTGCCCCCCCTCACTTTAAAATCGGTGGCGCGGGTCCTGGAAAAATGTGGGGCGAAATGTTGGAGAAATGTTGGATCTTTTGACCAGGGCTTCATGCCAAGCCAGGTTAGTGACCCGAGTGACCCGTGACCCGTTGCTGTTGTTGATTTTGTTGTCGCTGTTGTTGTAGTTTTATGGGAACTGAGAGGAAGTGATTTGCAACCATCAAATTAGTCTTCGTGGACACAGCAGGAAAACATAAATTGAAATTATGTGCTAAGGAGGTATGCAGGAAGACAGTCAAAACACTTTAACATTGACAGTTGCTGCTGCAAGGGATCCAATGAAAGATGACGATCCAAGAGGAAGGACCAAGTCATACGAACCAACCATTGTAAGAACCTCAAGTGATCCAGATCTAAATTCGCGTGGCAGATCGAAAAGCAGTGTCTCACAGTGCTCAAGGTCTCGCTCCCAAACAAAAACACAGCTCAGTATTGATGAGTTAATGATGGAACCTTCATCTGAAGCAAGAAGAAAAAATTCATTCTATGGATATCCCAGGCCTAATCCTGTTGGTATGGCAGCTTCTACAAGCATCGACCTGGAAACAGAAGAAGGAGACCTCTCCCAGAGTTACAATTTTAGGTATCCCCTATAATATTATGCATTGTTTTGAAATTTTCATTTCCACAGAACCAGATTCAGGTTTAAAATCATATTCTATTTTCAATAAAATTACAAACAATCTAAAGATTGCAATTTGAGTTAATTTGAGTCAATAAAAACGTACTAAGAGCAAACGCATTTTGCATTTTGAAATCTATGCTCTAGATTGGAAATCATGTATGATTTTGCCAGAAGCATTTGAGAAATCCATCATACAGTAACTTCTGATGTGTTTGAGGTGCAGGTTCAGTGAAAAGTCTTACTTAAATAAGAGGGAGGGGATAGGGACAACTCTGTCAGGAATGTTTCTTAAGACCAAGATAAGCAGAGATTGCTTCATTTCTGCAGACTGCTTTGCAGAGGCCATTTCGATACCTTATAATTTTACACTTTATCAATTCTTTAAAAAACTGATGCGAGTAGAGCTTTAAAGATATTGTGTGGGTGTGGCTGAAAGCTGATACATGAAAGATCTAGATGCTTTATTGACATTTTTGGTCACAGAGATGTGTGATGCGAGCACAAGAAGTCCAGCATTACTGCAAGCATATACATGCTTCCAGCTTTGGTTGAATGAAAGTTTTACCAATTTATTTTGTTAAAAGACTGACATGGCACCTAAAAGACTCTCCTGAAACAATGTTGGTTATATAGTTAACTATGAAAGCAATCTGAAAGGAGTCCATTAAGCCTCATGCCATTGCTTTAAACAGTATTGTTCAGAAAGAATAATGTGCAGTAAATTGTGCTCACAAATAGTGTAGCTTAGCAATAAAATTTTAGCGAGGCATTGTAGATATTATTTTCAGCAACTGTAGTATAACCCAACAAACTCTTTATTTTCCTGAAATGATGCTGGGGATCTGTTTTCTAACTTATTGTTAGTAACAAGCTCTTCTTATTGTTATTTTCTTGTTTCTTTACCATTAACTGATGGAGACTCTAGTTCAATGCAGAGGCTTAGCAACTTTTGCACCTCTAAGATATCTAGGAATATTGAAAATCAGATTTTGCTTGCATTTTTACTTCTAGTTTGAATTTGGTTATCCTTTTTTTTTTCATTGCAACCTATTTTTCTCTTTAGCAAAGATTCAGATTCCACAAATGCAAAAACAGCCACAGAAGTGCTTGAAGAGAGACGAAGGAGACAGAAACAGAAGGAAGCTGCTTTCCTAAAACTGAGACAAGAACTTGCTCGAGCTCATCAGGTAGGCCATCTCCCTGATTGAAAGAATTGAAAGTTCAGTAGCCTTTCTGGTTTTATTGAATTTGACAAATGCTGATGACCTTGATCATAAAAATTTAGAATTCTTTTTTCTTTAATAAAAATGCCAATTAAAACTTTTTTCATAATTAACAAACTCTGCAACAGTCTTATTTTCTTCTTGCTAAATATTTTAATGTGTATCCAATTCAGTGTCAATGAATGATTGCATATGCAGAGGCTAGCAATGAATATGTCTTTTTTTGCATATTTGATGTTTAAACTTTTTCCCAAACCTATTAGACATGAATTTTGAATTTTTTGGCATTTTTTATTGTTCTGCCCTATTCACCTGTTGTTTGATTTGAAGCATGTGCAGTCATTTACTTTTCCTGTTCCTTGGGATTTTTACACACCGTATTCTCTCTTGTATTCTCAACCCTCTATAAGATTCCGGCCTCTCTAATGATAGAAGAAAAACGCGGATACATTAACCATGTGGTTGGAATTTTGAATGATTTTTAAACATTCAAGATTGTGTCTTATTGCCTGCATTGATGCCAGCAAGGGTGATGATGTTTCATTCAATCAGCATTTACTTTTCAACCAACGTTTGCCAACTTTCTTCACAATTTGCATGCAATGTTTCTGCATAGAAACACATGAGAACAGATTGAATATTCAAGCCCCCCTTTCTGAAAGCATGTTGAAAAATTAATCCTGTCTCTCTGATAATCCAACCTCACTAATTTTCCTGCATAAAATTAGAAGGTTTACCCAATAAACCCACAGCAGGAATACAAGAAAGAATATTGTATATAAGGTATGAATTTTTTCAAAAAAAATAAGTTAGTGTGTTCTAAAAATGAATACTGAGTCTCTAGTGCAAGGTGTTTGAAATTATAGGAACTGAGAAAAAGAGATGAAGAGTGCAAGAAATTGTCATCTGTGCGTGATGACTTAGATAAAGAAGTTGAAGACCTTACAGCTTCTCTTTTTGAGGTAATGCAGAATATCTGTTGTGAATTGTCCTTTACATGTGCTGCCCTGGAATCTTGGTAGAAACATTAGTTTCTTTATAGTGTTTCAGTGACTGGTCTGCAACCTCAAAATGACAGAAACAATACATTTTTTGAAATTTTCAATTGTTTTTCTTTTTGCTTAGGAAATAATATCAGCAAAACATTGTTTTGTGATTCCTGCAACCAGTCAAATGTAAAGTAAATTAATTTGCCTAAATCAGAATTCACATTGGACGAGTCATGGCACAATTTATTTATAGGTTCATTTATTAAATTTTTAAATAAGTTTATAGATGTTTTTAATCTTACATAGAATAGAGGTAATTTCTCATAAAGTTGAATGCAACCATATAAAAGGAATTTTTCTATGCATAATTTATTTGTTTCGTTCATTTTCCATTAATGAAATATTCTTTTATTTTTGACTCATTTACCAGGAAGCTCACAAAATGGTGACTGATGCAAAAACAAAGCAAGCATCTGCTGAAATGCAGTTGAAGGAGGCCCAAATGAAGGTTGTCAATTGAATGTCATAGTGTTTTTTGTCCTTTAATCCTTGCTTGATGATAAGTTACGTTTTTAACTCAGAGCAGCAAATTTGACCTTTCCAACATATAGAGCATCTAAATGCAATCAATTCCCTTTTAGACTGCATTTTCTGTCACAGTCAAATATTTTCATTTCTGATAGAGTCAAAGGTCCAATATTTAGCCACAGTTTGCAGAGTCATCATAGTATAACTAAGCCAATAAAGATATGAAAGTGTACTTCCGCGATAGCAGCAGTGTACTCTTGATTTTGTTAGCATGGGAGACAATCAGCATATTTTTTGGGCTAGAGGCATTTTTCGCGGCCATGCCCGGAACATGAAATGATCTTCACATGCTCGGAAAGCAAGGACTACCCCGATTTTGATTGTTTTCTTAAGATGATTTGCACACATTTTTATAAACAGCTCTTTATAAGGTACTCCAATGTTGCTAAAAATTATTATCTCTACTACTGGGAGAACATTTTTAGGCAATCATTCGTCTGGGTAATGTAAAGTTATTGATAGCAAGTTGTAAGAGGGTTGTAATGTAAAGTTGTAAAGAAATGTTAAGTTGTAACAAGGTTGAAAATCGTTTTGGCTGCATTTTCTGAGAGAGTTTTTAAAGTGATAAAGGAAAGCAACACTTTGATCTTATTGATTTTTATCTGTTTAAATTTAGAATCACTGTCATTTTGCTCCGTATTCAAACCTTTGTCAAATGTATCCATTTCATCTCATAGTAAGATGCACGCAAGGCAAAACAAATGCATTTTGTTAGGACTTCATATGAAAGTAGAACTGTGTGAATAGAAAAGCTTGCAAAAATAAGTTTTTTCATTTCCAGGGATTTAAATAAATTTCAATATCCGTTCATGCGTATGTTTTTCAACTTACGTGAATAAAGCTAAAAATGTTCCAGGCAATGATATTTTGTAGTAAATTACTTCAAACATTTCAAATGCAAGCTTAAGTGCTAGATCGATAACACTATCTGCTCCTGAGCAATTTTGTGATATTGGCGTAGGGAAGACTTTCATCATGTTGACTCTTTTTAAATAATTTTGTCGTGGTTAGGAATTTCACTGTATATTTGCATTGTATTAGACTATAATTTGTGATTTATAAAGCACTGAAATTATCGTTGTTATTGAAAATAATTGAGAGAGAGGGCTGACCCCTCGCTGTCCTCTACTGTCCACCACTTCACAGCAGCTCTGGCCTTGGTTATCTCCTGAAGATAACTTAAGAGACTGCTTTCTGTTTTGCCTTACCCTTGAGGTATTTAAAACTAAGTAAAATTGTAAATGCCAACTTGGTGATCACATGTGTTTTCCAGTGTGATTGGCACAGTTGATCTTTATGGTTTTTTCAAAATTTTATGGGGATGGGTAATGGGCTTATTTTTGAAGAAACATCGATTGATACATAGTTTTCTATAACAGATGGATGGGCTAGAGGCAGAGGTTGCTGCTTTGAAGCTGTTAGTAATCACGTCAACTCCCTCAAATCCTGGTAAAAAGGGACACAGAAGATCACCCAGTGCTGATCAAATTTGTTCTGATTGTCAAACATACCATTCTGTTGTGGATGGAACGCGAAGTGAAGACAGCTGGGATGTAATAGAGATAGAAAACGAAAAAGAGGTTTGCTTGAATAATCTTACTATGTCAGTTATCATTGTGAAGGCTTCACGTCTCTCACAAATATCTCAGAAAATTATCTCAGTTCGTTAGCGTTTTACTCCATATTTACACCATACTCCATATATACTGCAAATGAAAGCAGATGCTCTGAGTCTAACCGTATCCAAAAATCGTTAAACAGCCCATCAAGATACTTTGCTTACCATAGCACCATTATTTTCTTAACAATGATTTTTTTGTGTGATAATCTTATTTTCTTGCTATTATCTGCCAAGTTTGTTGGTAGAAGATTCTGTTACAATTTATGTTTTATTTGAGTTTGGAGTCTCCATTATAGGTTGACAGATTAGCACATCGTGAGTTTGTCTCATGGTTGGAAAAACATTGCCCATTGAATGAACATCCATTTCTGGAAACTATTGAAAGACTGGATGTTATACCCTGTCTCCAATTTCAAAATCAAGAGGTACTGCATCATTCTTCCCTCCGTGTTTTGCCTTATTGCTTTTGTTTTCATTAAAAAATTTGCCTAAGGTATATAAGTTGCTGATCACAGGTTTTCTTCTACTCTGACACGAGTTTGACGAAATAACTAATAGTATGTTAAAAATATGATTTCGAAAACGTCATTCGTATTGCTGTTTTCTTCCTTATACATTATGTTATTCATTCATATTGTTTTATGCCTTCTTTCTTGTTCTAGCTGTCATTCGATATTCTAAAGGCTATAAAAGACAATTCGCTGATTATTGAACCAATCCCTGGTTCACAAAGAACGAGGTACCTCATTTATAAACAACGCTGAAGCAATTATTTCTAGTTGTAGTATTATTGTGACTTAAGGTGCTTTCGAAATTAAAATCAATCAACAGGTGTTAAAGTTTTTGGTGTTATCTGTAATGCTTCAACGGAAAGACTAACTTATAACATGATCAACACATACTAATAACCTACTAACGTAAACAAAAACTAATTAACAAGACAATAAGAGCATCACACTATATAAGGCGTTCACTAACACAACAGGACTTATCAGAACAAGTGATCTAAACACGCAACGGGAACATTACTAAATTGATTAAATATAAAATCCAAACCGTTACACATTGGCCAATCAAGAAGCGTGATCGCACTCATACTCATATACAGGTGTTGAAGTGGCACAAGCTATCTGTCAATCATAACTGGCCAGTCAATAGGCGTAATGCCACTCCCAAATTTCTTGATTGGTTGATTGTTGATCGACCAATGGCTTGAGCTTCTTAAGGATCTGTCGAATACCTTTGAAGATTTATGATTTCGTGATAATTCTTTTAGCTCATTTGTTTAAATTTCGCTGCGTTTATTTTAAATGTCTATTTCATATGATATGATCATAAAAAGCTTTCAGGTTTTGATAGTGAATGTTTCTTTTTAAAGTTAGTATTGTCCCTTTTGATGGAGCAGCATAAGGTAGACCTGTACTACTTAATTTGGTTTTTTTAATCCCCAATCGCAATCGTATTTTAAGCGTTGAGCGAACTTCGCAGTCTTGACTTTTCAATGTTTTCTTCTAGGCGTTGCTCACTATCAAAGTCCTCAGTTTTGTGTCCTTATCGTGTGCGCATTGGTGAAAATGGTAAATGGCATTTCATATCAAGTGGCTGTCGGTCAAGAGTACGTCAGGACTAATATTTTTACGACAGTTTAGCTGGCTTGAAATTAAGAAATAGAGTTCCAAGGTGATGACGTCATAAAAACTATTTTTTGATATTTTGAATTTGTACCAAATATCCAGAAAGAGCCTTATAAAATACATTTGACCGGTGTTCTTTCAGGGTAGGTGGTTACAATGTACTAAAAGTGAATTTTGAAGACGTTGCACCTTGGTACTCCTTCAATATGAAATTTTAGTTTGCAAAATTGATATGTATTCGTTATCGTTTGTGTTCTCCATTGCCGCCTAGAAATAATGGATGTTTAGATGTTTTTTCAATCAGTAAAGTATATGTATTATTTACGTACATTGGCTTGCAATTTACGTAAAAAGACCAGGAGAGCAGGAATGGCATTTTATTGATTAAATTTCAAATAAAGACCGACAAACAGCTTTGGTAAATGAACCAGATAGAATTTCCTTCTATTCCTCCCTCAATTCTTTGTTTTGTGTTATTACTTATCTAATGATAGGCTTGCGATATATTATCGTTCGCGATAATATTTCTTCTCTTAAGAGTTTTTGCACTGATAACTGTTTCATTATGCTAGTGGTTAGTGCCCTCTCAATGGAGCATTTGCGTCTTATAAGGGTTGATATCGGTAAAAGTTGATCATCAAAATGAATCTTGCTTTTGGCTCAGTACTAGTTTTCTGTGAAATACATCTCTGCTTACTTGTTCGTTACAGAGAGATGTGTCTGAACAGACTCTTATTTTCATTCGGTTTTCTGTTTCTTATTTCGAAATTTTTTTGTTCTTTTGATATAGTTGTATTTTGCTATTTTCATGTGATAGGATTCGAACTTTATCAGAATCTAAGTTTCGACTTATAAATTTCGGTTGATATAAGACAAATCGCAGCTGTTTTACTCATTTTGCTTGTATTGTTAATACAGCTAACATTATTAACTTCCTCTGCTCAATGTATTAATGAGTTCCTCAGTTTCCTTTAAATTTTATACACATTGCAGGCTACTGATTTCATTGCGTCCTTTTTTCCAGCTTATTGCTGTTGCTGATCTCTATACATTTTGTCGTTACATCAAGAATGGATTGATAAGAAAAGAAGGTAAAGCATTTTTTAGTTTTTGACTAAATCAATGGAAGATTTCTGTAACATTTCAATGTATTTAATCGAATAATGTTTAGATTTAATGGGATAGGTGACCTAAAATAAAAGAGCATCATAAAATACTTTTAAATATGTCAAGTCAGTTAAATACATTATAAATTTGCAAATATATTTCCCAGAGTGTCAGACCAAAAGCTTTAGCATGACTCAAAATGTTTGCTTTTTTCAAAGCCTTTTTTAAATTTTATACCGCGAAAAGATTGTCTAGATTTGATCACATTAACACTGGCTTTAACCCTCATCAAATAACTGCGATTCGGTCTGGGTTTATGAAATTATTGAATCAAGCCTTCAGGTTTAAACTTGAGATTTCTGTAGATAGTCATATCTACATGTAGCATATCTGATAGCATTTTCTGATTTTTATTTGATTATGGTAAAAAATGTCAAGCTTAATTTGACATCACAGTAGCCAAGCTTTTTATTAGAGCAAGAAGTTGATTTCTCTTCAATTCCATGTAGGCCAATAATTTTGTGTGACCTTCTCTTTCAGTGAATGCAATGTATTGGGATTTGATGCGAAAGAGAGGCCAAATCTCCCTTACAAGGTTAGGCCTTGTGAAATCATAAAATCGAAAGAAAAATGCAGTTAAAACGTTATCATTGTTAAATATTTAGTCCGTAACAAAATAATTATATATTATGAATCTGTGTTTAGGGTTCTGATTAAAAATGCGTGTGAATCAGTGTATATTCTTGTTATTATAAAACATTTTCTAAAGGGTTTGTATGAAGTTTTTATCATTATATGCTAAAAGAGAACTACCTGTTGTTTTTCATCTTCTTTACAAGGTCTACTGTTATATGCCACATTTGTCAGCGACCCATTTGCTAGACTTCGTTATTTTATGCCCGTCTGTTGATGTTGTGAGGATTCATTTTCAAGTCCTACCATTTTGAATGTTCGCTTGAAAACGGTATCCTAAAAACAGATGTCATAAATTGTCATAAATAGTATCATAAGTTCACTGTTATAATATTCAGCTGAAAGAAGTCTTCGTAATGGTGTTGAAAATTCAACAGGGCAACTAGATTCAGGGAATTGTCCCAATCATGTTAACAAATGTTCATAGAATTATCTTTCATGTTTGGTACTGTTAGAAGCTTGAGGGCAAAAAGCAAATATGGCGTTTAGCATACATAGACACCAGTATTCTGTTGCCGCTGTAAGCAGTCTGCCGTTTTGTCAAAAAAGAACAACAAAGCTACCTTTATAAAGAAAAGCTACCCATTTTAGATGCGAGTTTATTAAAAGATAACGTGCTTCTTTTGTATAGCTGCTGTAACTGTATGAATCCTAACGTAGTGTTATGGAAAATAATTTCTGGTACCGATTTACCTTGTTTTGTGTAAGAAATTGAAAACAACCCAACTTGTTTAAAAAATTACAGTAACGCTCTTGATAAATGGGTTGTTGCTGCAAAGTGTTATTGCCCAGTAGAAGTAGCAAGGAGGGGATGGAGGGTCCAGACCGTATGTATGTCCTTGAAGATTTTGAAAGTATGGAACTGAAGATTCTTTCGGTCAATGAATTTGCTCGAAAGTGCAAAGAAAGTTGGTGTACACGAAGGTAGGCTGACTGCTCCGTTACATGATGATGGATTAGAATATATTCAAAAGGGCGCTGCCCTCTTTAAACAAATTTATAACGTGCTGTATTTAAAGACTCATTGCTAACAATGAGCCATTGTGCTACGTAAGCATCCCATAATGCATTTTTAAACTGTCTAAAATCAATTTTGGTTAATCCGTAGAAAGTTACTGCCATTGTTTGGACCGTCGCCACGCTCGCACAGGCCCATTGTTAGCAACGAGTCTTTAACTTTTCTTGGGGTTTCAAGAAAATATCCATTCTAGGATCTGCGTGGGTCTTCCTGAACATACACGATTTTTATTTTATCTTCAAGTTCTTTATTTTTGGACCTTTTTTATCAGATTGTAGGACTAAAAGTTCTATTGCTAGTTCCTTAATCTAACTGCATATTCGACGCCGTGAAAATATAACATAATAAATTTAAATTCTGGATTGCTGTCGCTGGATTCTTATATGTAGCTAGAAACAATAAGAAAAGCAAAAAGAAGACTAAAAACATTTGATATATGAAAAATAGAAATTCATTGAAGAAGGAAAATTGAACACTCGAAATTACACCGTGAAATACTCGATAGCTACCTTTGTAACACACAATTTATGTGATTTTTAACTCAAAATGTATTAGACTGGCTTCCTAATTCATGATTGTTTGCAAAAATAAAAATATTAAAAATGAGAAGCAGGGGCGGATCCAGAGCAAATTTGAAGGAGGGGCAGTCACAAAAATTGTTGACCAGAGTACTTTTCAGACAAGAGTACAAGAGTACAAATTGTTCAAAATAAACAACTTAACTTCGAGGTAATCCTTGAAGCAAATTAACCTATCGGTCTCAGAAACTTTTCACCTGATTCTTATTCTTCAAAGGGGCGCACAATTTCCAAAAAGGGGCGCAAGACTTGCTTCAACTTGTCGAGGGAGGGGCAAGTTCCCCTAGTTGCCCCCCCTCAAATCCGCTACTGACGAGAAGTTTCTTAGCGATTCTGTCTTTAGTACTAACTGTTCTTTAATTTTTTCTGCCTTTTTATTTAGCTGGAGCCGCAGACACATTCCAGGAGAATGTTGTCACTGGCGGGGGCCGTGGCCTTTTCTTCCGGCGTGATTACAGTATTAGATCATTTCATAAGGAATAAGGATAAAATCATTCAGGAATGTTCTTCATTATTCCTTATTTCTAGGTATGTAATGATTGATTGACTTCGATAATGGTGTCTGCAGTCTCTTCGAAGGAGGTTTATATTGGTTTTGGGACTGATCACGCATGCGTTGAACTAATTGGGCTGCGTACACGGAAAGAAAGCACCACAAAGAAATCACTAATATTGTAACAACATCCATTGAAATAATTCTGCCTTATTATCGATGTTTCCAAGTTGGTGAAGCGTTTTATTCACACGATTTTATTAGAAAAGCGAATAACTTTTTTTGTTTGCCAAGAATTGAGAGTGAATATGGTGTTTAGACCTTAGGCCCAGCGTGAGATGGTTCGATATTTTGTTACATCACAGTCAAATGAGTTATAACCCTGTCTTCCTGTGCCGAAACAATCGTACAAGGAAAAGTTCGTTTAGATGAAAGCGTCGTCAGTGTAATAAAAATTGGGGAAAATGAGCAATTTTGATGGTGAGTATTTTAGAGTGTGTTTATTGATGAGAATTCTCACTCGAGTGTAATCCACTATCGTACCACAAAATATGTTTATGGTTCTTCGGAATGTTTTCCGCCATTTATCCCCAAGCTGATCATCTCTGCTTCTACCTATCATTGAACAGGTCTGCTAAAGACAGGCGACCATTGTCTCTGAGTTTTATGATCAATTACTGTGAAGCAAAAATTTACACCTTAGGCTTTAGTTCGGGTTTTTTTAAACTTTTCTCTGCTGTAAGATCGATTTAATATTTCTGTATATAAATTACTATTTCACAATCAATTATGTATGCAATCACACCTAAAATATTTAGTCACAACCTCCATTTGTAAAACTACAAACACTTTTGGACCATTTGTTTAAGCAATTTACTAATTTTTTTATTTGCAGTTTCTGTTTCCTAACTAATTTTCTGATGAAAAATTAAAACACATCTGGAATTTTCGGTGAAATTTATGTTAAAACATCAATAATGTCTAAATTGCCAGAAAGCTAAAATAACAAATAAAACTTATATACAATTTATATCATCCAAATCTATTGGTATTATCACATACCATGTCATTCAAGTACTAAATGAAATGCTATTTTACCAAACCTTGAAGATGGAACAAAATAACCAGATATAAACTGAGTATAATGACTGAATGTAAGCAGAAAATTTATCTCTAGGTGTGGACCGAAAGTATTTTGAGAGAAAAAGTCAGGATCCTTTGTTTTGATGTAAACAGACTCCGAAACTCCTAAATGAAAAGTCAACCTTTCTTGTCTAATGAGCCCAAATAGCCCAATCTCCACTTTTGAGACTTGAAAATAAAACTTTAACTTTATAAATCATCATTGACCAATATACTAGATGCATAAAATAGCAGGTTGGGCATTCACAATTGGTTGCCAAAAGTCAGAGTATTTCCCTCAATGGATTTTACTCTGCGTCTTTCCCTCCATGGATTTTACTATCTTATGATAAAAAGTTGATATGATTATTTGGTTTAGTGTAGTAAATTGGATCAGAAAAAAATTTTTTTTTAGGGTTCCAAAAGCTTAGGCCTGGGTAATGTAAGGCAGATGAAAGTATTGAAATTGGAGGATAAAGATCCTGTTTCTTATTGAATATATACCCACATTTCTAAGACATCATTTCACAAAGTGATCAATGCATTTTGGTTGACCATAGTGGAAAGTATATACTGTTGCATACCAAAGATTATGCCAGACCTTTGAAGGTCCATTTGCCTGCAGCAAAGTGATATGGGGTAGAATTTTGATAAGCATTCCTTTGTTTCACCCAATTTGTAAACAAAATTTTGAAGGCCATTAATAGTTTTATATAAGGAACACCACAAGGTGATGAGAATAAACAACAACAAATACACAAATCAGTTATGGCTAATTTTTCGCCCCGGCATACGAGGCTTCGTCAGAGCAAAAGTAAACAAACTAAAAATTTACATATTCAAAGAGGCGATGGTGGTATCGAATTGGTTGATGTGGAATGGTGTGAATGCAGCGCAGGGGAGAAGAATAGGTTATAAATGTGGAAGAGGGAAGGGTTGCGAGCGCGAGAATGTGGGTGGTGGTGGTGAAATGAAAGTGTAATGAAGGTGGGTAGTGGCGATAACAATAAAAAGTTCTGAAAGTATTAAATAATGATGATGAGAGTGACAATGGTAGCAAAAAATGAAAATTGATTGAATAGGAAAAAGAAAATGATAACAGGAATGTAGGGAGTAATGATGATGATTGTAAAATAGTAATGTATGGGTAGTAGAAAAAGTGGCAATGATGATGGTGTGTTGCTGTAAGATTAACGGTCAGTGGTTCAGCTCATGCCGTTTGGTGTGAGAATGTTTGCCAAACCAATGATGTATTGCTCTTTGGCTTGTCGAACACTCTCTTGTTTGTTGTTAAGTTGCAGTAATGGTGTTATTGTAAAGTCATTGATGGTATGTTCTGGGCTGCAAAAGTGTTCTGCAACACCAGACTTTTCTACTTTTTTGTTGATAATGTCTCGTCTGTGTTTGTAAATCTGTCTTTCAGTCTTCTGCTTGTTTGTCTGATATATTGGCAGTTCTTGTTTCCGTTAGTTAAACATTGTTTGCATTGTAATGCGTAAATAACGTTATTAGAGTTGCATTCCAGTCTCTGTTTTATGTCGTTTTTTTGTCAGTGTTAGTAAAATTAAATGTAGTAGTACTGTCTGTGATGTGTTGGATGCAGTTACGTCGCGAGTGGCATTTGTAAGTGCCTCTGGGATAACTGGGTGTGCCACTTTTTATTCTTGCATGAACAATATATCCCGGAGGTTTTAAGGTCTGCGGTAGCTAAGTATAGGTACGTCAGGGAAGACTTCTTTGCAGGTTTTGGAGTTCTGTCATATGTTGGTGTTTTGTTTGAGGATGGTAGAAAGTTGTTGTGGTTTTGTTTGTGGATGGTCTACGGCAGACGTTAAAACCTCCAGGATAATCTTATTTTCAAGGTAATGTGCATGAGCTGTGTGTAAGTTTATCATTAGCTAGTTGAGGATTACAGGTAAGTCCAATTTTTTTGGTGCGTAGGGCAGAATGAGTTTATATTGCTTGATTAAAGTTTATTCTTTTATATTTGGTATTCTTTAATGTATTGAACCTTCTAAGACTATGCTATGAATAGTAATTTTGATTTTATAATAAGCTTCTTAAATACAACATTCTGAAATACATATGCTCAATTTTTCTGCAGGGGATATCAATGATGATGATGCAGATAAAGTGAGGGCTCATATTGTCAGCAGATATGACAAGGTATATCTTTTGAAAATCCTTCCTAATCACATTTTATTTATTATTTTAATACTGTCTTTTGAAAGCATTTCATGGTCATCTTTATCTTTTATTTTAGAGCTAAATCTAGCATGATTGATTGATATGTGATTCTACAAACTATGCCCTAGTAAAAGCCATAAGAAATTCACATTTGAATTTTGTTTATCTATAATGGGTTGAATGGGTTGGCCGTCTTTGTCTTGATTTAGCTGTTTTTGCCCTGGCCAAAGCTTTAAACACTTTTGCTAAACAACCCTCAACATCATTGGGTTATGTTCAGTAAGATCTGTTCAAATGTTTCCAACTTTTGACTGAACATTCAACCCAACATGGACATGTGTCCAAGCTCCCAAAAACTTCTTTCTTCAATGAATGTAAAAAAAATTGCTTATCTTTTCGTTACTCCATCGCTTTACTTCTTTAGATGAAGATTTCTTTCTATCACTTACCAATGAATTATTTTTATTGTGCTGCCTAGCCTTCACATTTTCTTTTAATGTTCCAATGCCCCATTTCCTCTTTCATCCAACAAGTTCAAGAGCTTGTGATGTTGTGGTGTCAATGAAGGGCAAGAATGAAGAACATTCTCCTTATCATCAACACGACACTGCAACTTGTTTCAACTATTTTCGCCCAGCATAAAGCTAGGTACCACAAGTAGGGCATTTACAGTGTGTCCTATGGAAAAACTTTGTCACTGAACATTGATCAGAAGGGTAGCTAAATCAGGCTTTCATGGGAAAAATATGGCAGGCGTGCTAACCACTGCACGCCTGAAAACATCCAGGTGTGTGGTGGCGTGTGACAATTTTTTCGCAAAAGTCTATGGTTATCATAATAGATCTACACAGAAATTGCCAACACAACAATGATGACACCAATAATTTTGATGAAATTTATTTCGCTGAATCCTTAGTATTACTACTAACAAAAAATGTGTTCTTTTTGAAGACTTGAGCAAGTTTCTATATAGCTTTCATCAGCTTCAATAATATACCCTTAGCAGAGTCATTTGGGGCTTGGGGTTCATCTGGTTAATGACCATTTTTGCGTGTAAATCTGTACCCCAAGGTCCCTCAGTTATCAAGCATGGCAGCTGTTTTATGTACCTCATTGGCCAGATGTTTATAATCCATAAAGATAATGCATAAAATATAATGATGGGCCATTTTTCATTAATTTAATTTTGCAAAAATCTAGATTGAAAGGAAAGCGAAGTCTGGAGAAGGGTCTGTATATGGGTAACAAAATCAGCAAATCTGCTACTTTTTCTCGCATAATTGGCAAGTCTGCTACTTTTGCTAAATTAGCAATCAAAAATAAAAATCTTGTTAACAACACTTAATGTTCCTTATCAAATTCGGAGACAAAATGTCTGTTATAGTCTTTTGTGTTTTGTGATTTGTTCATTGAAATGCCATAAAGCCTTGAAAAACTCTTTTCCATTTTTTGCATCATGAAAAGTGCATGTTTGCCAATGTCTATTTTGACGATGAAAATAATTATTCCCCTGAGAAAAAGTGATAAATATACACCGGGAAAAAGTAGGCAAAAATAACGGCAAAAATTTATAGCAACGTTCATCATATTGAGGAAAATCATGATGATAGAACATACAATTCGGTTAGTTATAATGAAAGTTCGTTATATACGGGATTAGTTTTACAGAGGGAATTTTTAAGGGGTTCGGTTGAATCCAAGGGCCAGACATATTTTTGTTATACTGGAAACTTAGTTATAGCCGGGTTTCATATTATTGGGATTCTACTGTAGATTAGTCCTATGATTATTTCAAAATTTTCTATTTAATTCGCAATCCTGACAAGGTGTTAAGCCTTTTTGAAATGGCATGAAGTAATAGTACCAAAGAAGATTAACATTTAAACCCATCTTGAAACCAACTAAACCAATCATTGATAGAGAATTTTGCTCTCATAATAAAAGAAGGCGTGTGATATTTTGCACTCCTTGAAATCAATAGGATTTCGATCGCATGCCTTTCTGACGAAAACCTGTAAATTGTGACAAAATTGTTCATTTGAGCTTATATTCAGCAAATATTTTTGACCAAAACCAAAATTTGCAGAACAACCTTCAATAAATATTCAGTAGCTGAACAAATCAACCAAACTGTCTCAATATTTACTGAACATGAATGTTTGACAATGTTCAGTGAAACGTTGAGAGTGTTTGGCCAGGGCTTTAGTCTTTTTATGTAGTTTTTATATAATGCTCACAAAAAGTTCCTTCATTTTTACCTTGATCTTACCATAGGGTGTAGACGGTCACGTTGAACCATGGGAAGATGCAAGCTTTATTGTTTATCAAGTATGTGACAGATATGGCTTTCTGCAGTAAGTATTTCCTTGCAGTATTTCATAAACTCAATCAAAGTGTTTAGCATCCCAGCAAATTGCCAAAAATATATTATGCACATTCATTGATTGTGAAGGATTTTTTTAGACTCAAATACTTAGTAACTTGTGAATATTCTATAGAACTCAGTCCCTAAAAATATGAGAAAAGTATTTGTATGTCAGAGTTTTGTCTCCATGAAGAGAATTATACTATCTAAATTTCAGAAAAACCTGATTTGTTTCTCCTAAGGTAACTCTTATCTTTTCCAAGACAAAGTACATCTAATCTGATTAACTAATAGGATGTCTTATTGTGTGGTCTTTCTGATAGTATCAGTAAGATTTACTAATGCTAAGACTTACTTATACTTAGTATGAATATATGGTAGCTTTTCTTTATAAAGCATCTGTTTGTCAAGAAAATTATGCAAGTGCAGTCACTATGCTTAGGGAAGTTCAGTCTCTCTTCTGTTAAATAAAGAGGGCCTTGAAGGGCTTCTGGATCATATAAGAGCAATTATAAGCAACTATTTCAAATTTTGAAGGTTTTTTATTGAAATTAAGGCAAAAATTTTTTGCTACCTTAAATCAAAGGAAAAGCAGTTTTGGTTTTTTAATAACAAGACCATTGGCTAAGCCCTCAGTTTGATAGAACATACTTTTCCGTTGAAGAGGGGGAAATTTTTTGGAGTTGGTCATTAACCTGCACGTAGCATTCAGTGACGTAGCTTTCAAGGGAGAAGGTGATCACCTGTGTGAAATGGAATAACTCGGCTAATTTTATAAAGGGTAATCTGCCAGGAAATTTTGTCATGCATTGCCTGTTTTCATTGCTTTCCATTCTTTTTAGCAAAAATCCCTTACCACATATTGAGAGAGATGAGAGGGTAAGTGTAAGACAGATTATGTATTTACTTGGTATTATAGTAAGTTTTGTTGATTTCTGTAGTAATAAAGATTTCAGTATTAAATTTATATCTACCTTGTTTTATTTCCAGGTTGCACATATCAACTGTGCCAGTCTTCGTTGCAGCTTTGAAACAATTTTCAAACTGCTTTTTGGAAAATCATTATCTAAAAAATATTTTGTGTACATACTCTAACTCCATCAGCCTCCATTCCCCTGTACACAAATATGCACTTTTGACAAACTCCCATCCTTGCTTTCCTGCATTTGAAATGATTAGCCTCTTTTCTTATGGTTTCTTAAAACATTTGCAGGAATCGTAGCATGTAATAAGAAAATATTTATAACTATCTATAAATTTGCTTCAAATTACTTTTTTTCCTGTAATTTTTAATTTGATCATCCTCATAGAAGCATTATATATTTTAATGATAATTCCATTTAGATGCTTGAATTGGAGAGAGACAGGGCGTCTAAATGGATCAAGATGTTTGAAAATTGGGATCGATATGGAAATAGTGAAAAGGTAAATGGACTTTTGCTATCTATCATTGAAGTTAAAAACATGTAAAATTTAACTGATGCTGATGGTCCCTCTGTAGAAGATGTTATGACTTACAGTGTGTATAGAGGCTTCTTTCTGTGAAAGTTTCAATACAGCTTATATATTTTTAACTTCTTTTTAAGAATTGTGCTTGGTGTACCTATCCCTTGATAGTTGTTTTTTAATTGCATTTGGAGTTATTTCAGTTAATAATAGAAAAGCTCTTTCTGAACTTGATAAATATATTGTTTGTTAGCTTAAACGAAGAATTTACAAAGGCATCCCAGATAGTGTTCGAGGTATGGCATGGAAAAAGCTTTTGGGAGTGGATGTAGCAATGATTGAAAGAACTGGAGTCTATGAGGTACCCAACAATTTTAAGTTTTTTCACCATCAAACTGGCTGTATTAAGTCATTCCCAATTAAGAAAATGTTGGACAGAATTAAATAATGGAAAAAATAATGGCCTGCCTGGCCAAAATTTAGATCATGTGTTTTGTTACATAAAATCAAAGCACACATTTTGCTCTTTCTTTATTGAATCTAAAGCTTTTACATTCATCGTTTTGTGCTTTGATTTTTCAACAACACCTTGAAAATGTGATGAAACTCAGCAGTTAGTAGAAAATCTAGCTTATCAGGAATGCATTTTAATTTTTGATTGGAACCTTTTAAGAGCGAGGAATATTGATAAATCTGTAGTCTGATAAAAGGCCTGTCTAAACTTTGGTGTTGGATTTTTATTGATGCAAAGCCAACTCCATAAAATAGTAAATTATTTTTGTATTAAGCCATGATATTTTCTTGTTTTAGAAATTTAAAATGTTGGCAAGAGAAAAAAGCCCAGATATTCGACAAATTGACCTAGATGTTAACAGAACATACAGAGACCACATTATGTTCAGAGAGAGATTTTCAGTCAAGTAGGTATCATACTAAGGATTTGTGTATTTAATGTAATAAGTAATAGTGGATAATATTACTTTATTTGACAAAGACTTCCTTATAATTGTACCATAACTGACCATTTAAAGGCTCATGGCCTTAATTTTGAAATTTCATTTTTTTCTAGATGTTAATTCAAAGGGGTGTTTTTTATGAAAACCCCTTTTATTTTTTTTATTGTATGTATAATCTGAAGCTAGCAGAAAGTACAAATAAAAGTGCCACTACAGTTTTATATTATCTAAAGTAATATAATCTAAATAATATTGAAAGTAAATATGCTACATTGCCATTTATTCAAGAGAGCATTCATAAATTTTTGACTGTTTACCCTGGAATTTCATTTGAAAAAGAGCATTGATTGCCAAGGGCCTCTAGATTTGTTACTTAACAGACAGTAAGAATGCAATAGTCGACATTGTGAATCAATCCCATAAAGCATAGGTTGTCCAATAATTCTTCCAAACTTTGAGGTCATGTCCTTTTCCTGTCAATCTAGAGATTGAGTATATTAAAGATATTAACCAAAGGTTAATCTCCCTCATTGTTTGCTTCATTTGTTTTACCAGTGATATTTTTCTAGGCAACAAGCTTTGTTTCACATTCTTGCTGCATATTCCATGTATAATGTGGTAGGTATTCAATGCTTTGATGTATCAGATTTATAATAAGATTTAGTTTCCTACTTTCATTGACTGTTCATGATCTTTCATGACCTTTAGCTAAAAAGCTAGCTTTATTTATGTGTAATCGACAAAGCTTTCAAATTCTAATTTCAAGGGATATTGTGCAAATATTTGTGTCCATTGTTTTATGCCATTAGTTAGTATTTCTAGCTTTGCTATCATAGTCTGAAGATCTATTATTTCTTTGAGTCTGACAGAGCTATTCTGGTTGTTATTAAGGTGAATACCCTCATCAATAACCCATTGTGTGACTTTTATATTTCCCTATGGTTCATCATTGGAGGATGTCTGTGTTGTGGCCTATTATAGAATTAAAGTACACTCAGTATACAGTTCAAAGTAGCTACATTTTATCTTTATTGTTTATCAATGCTTTGATAATTTTTTTTTAGATTTTTCCTGAATATTGGTTCAGTGTTTCCCCATATTTTTGTTCTCAAAACAGTAAAATAATCTTTTAAATTTATATTTATTCCAAAGCCACTGGAATGGTGCATTAATTTCCTGCCCAAGTCATTAGCAATGTAGGGCGCTTTAACCTAGTAATTTTGTTTCAGAAATAAAAATCTTCTTTGAAAATAACAAAGGACTTCTTATTTTTTCTTTCAATCCTTTGATTTCAAATATGTCTAATGTATAAATTTTGTGTTTAAAACAGTTATGATATTAAATGGTATCATTATAATGACTATAATTATATTTTTCTTATTTTAATGTTTAGGAAGTTGGTTACTGCCAAGGAATGAGTGGCATTGCTGCTTTATTATTGATGTATATGAATGAAGAGGTAAGACAGCTAATATTCCTTCAGTTTTTGAGTAGTTTCTGCTAGTCCTAGAGAGAAGTTACCTTGGAGTGGTGTACTGCTTTGCAGCTTATCATTACATAAAGAACAAGCACTATCTCTCATTCTCACAGTTTATTCTGAGAATTTATCTACATGCTCACATGCTGTTGAGCCATCTAAATTCATATTTTAATCTTAAATGTATCTCTAATCTTTAAATCTAATCAACCATCAGTTTGTCACTTGCTCATTAATTATGAAATTTTCTTTTTCAGGATGCTTTCTGGGCATTGTCTGCACTTCTTACAGATAAGATCCACCATATGCATGGTACTTCATGTTTTTTTAATTGAGAATCTGGTTTTGCTGTTTTTTTGTATGTAAGGCCTGTTGGCCACCTGTTTCAAGGCTTGAGAGTGTATATTTAGCATTTCATCATGCACATCAGTCATAAAATGATGAACCCACACCTTTTGGTTTCATATCTAATTAATGGCTATTTAATTCAAAGACGATTCTGTACCACCACTGGCTTTGCAACAACTGCAACATCACAACTTATGTCTCTTGTATGTGGCTCTTATTGAAGTCCCTAGTCTTGCTGTTACTGTCAGTATTTGTGGGTGATGTTCTGCTAATTTGATGATTTTGGGTTAGCAAATTCTCACAAGAATGACTGCCTGCATGGAAGAGCTAATGAGATCGATTGCCCGCCTGCTCAACAACATTGGTTAAAGAAAGTCCTCCTGGGCCCTAGGGGGGTTGGTATTAGGGTATCATCTGCCCATAATTGCCTATTCTTTGGTTTTCTAATTGCACCATTATGACCAATTTTGTAAATGGTTTTGATGTCATGATTTAAAACCTGAGCTATGGGGCAATAGTGTTTTGTGTTCATTAGCAACTTGTCATTTTTTCTTAGTGTTTTATTAGAACTAACTTTTCCCTAATGCTTTTCCCTGTTGCATGCAGGCAAGAAATGCTTTTTGTGAGGGTGGTCACTAGCCCAAGCCAATAATTGGGTGAAATCATTAATAAGGGTGCGGGCAAAGCCAACATGAAATGGAAGGTCTTGCTTAATGAGTTTTATGTTGTTATTCTTTTACAGGATTTTTTGTACCTGGATTCCCAAAGCTGATCAGATTTCAAAGTCACCATGATAAAATCTTAAATAAAACAATGCCAAAGTTACAAAAGCATTTGGTAAGCTTGATTGTATCAATATATGATTTTTTTCATTTCATTGTTTTATTCTAAGAACAATGTCAATTCTTCAAATGTTCTCAAAATTGTTGGTGTCTTGGTGTAATTTCTCATAGAGTAGAAGAATTTTGAAGCATTCAGTAAATATGCTTTATAAATTCCTCTTTGTTTGATTGTTTATGTTCATTTGCAGGAAAAAGAGGGTTGTTTTACATCTCTGTATACCTTGAAGTGGTTCATGCAATGTTTTCTAGATAGGGTATGTTTTCATAACAGAGCTACATTCAGCCTTGCAAAGCTGAATTGTACTCATATTCTAGATTATGATCTTATTATATGCATTGCTATTTATTTAAAGGTTTCTGGAAAAGCCAAAATACATGCCATATATACATGCCAAAAATGTCAATGATAATGCTATAATCAGTTGAATGTTGTTAAGCACAAAGTTTTTGTGCATCCTTTGCAATCACAGTTCTATTAAAAAAACCTCTGGTTGACATTCAAGTGCAAGAGGAATATTTTCATTGACATTTCTCTAAGGGTTGCAGTCACAATTTATTGAGAAAACACCATTCAATAGTTATGCACAGAATGGAAAAGTTATGGTTTCATTAATGTCATCAATATTTAGGAAAACCTCAGTATCCATGCCCTCAGTTTAAATCAAATGAATTTTTAGCATACTCTTCAATGCTTAAGTGTTTCTGCGAAGGGTAATTTAGAAACCAGGCTGTTGAGGCATTTTTCAGGGATATTCCTATCTTTTTTACGTTTGATAGATAAGACTTTGAGTGTTAAACTGCTATGCAGGCCTTGCAAGGAGAGGCACTCAAGCTCAATCAAGAACCTCAACACATGCCTAGAAAGTTCTGGGGGCTTGATTAATCAAACACTTAGCCTGTTTATGCTGTTCAAAAACTAAATACAAAAACAAAATTTTGTTATTGATGATATTTGATGATGCTCAATCAAGTGCCTAGAAAGTTGGAGGTGCTCAGTTTGTCAAGCTGCCTGCTTTGTCAAGCTTTGCCCCTCACAAGGCCTGCTGCTGTGATATTTGAAATTTTCAATTTCTCATCCAACTTGAGCATTAAGAATATATTTTAATGAGAATGTTGGTTTTTAGTCAATAGCTCTGCTGTTGAAATCAATTTATATTTTGAATGCATCATTGTTTGCATTTTGGTGCATACTGATTGCATAATTTCTTTTTGTAGTTACCTTTCTCTTTGGTACTTCGACTCTATGATATTTTCATGATCGAGGGAGATCGTATTTTGTATGGAATGGCCTTTGGTATTATGAAACTCCACAAAAGTAAGTTTACTTATTCTAAATTGTTGCTTTCATCCATAAATTTAAGAAAAACATTTATATAATTATTCAAAAAGGTATGCTACATATATAGATTGTTTCTTGAAAAACTGTAGAATGTTGGTCTTTTTGTTCTTAAGTTATCATTCTTTCTTTAACTTTTTAGAACAATTTATGAAAATGGGACTAGAGGAGCTTGCTCCATATTTACAGGAGACACTTGCAAATGATTTGGTCTACGGTGATGATGAGATGATCGATCTATTACAAGATGCAATGAACGATTTGAAAAAGTCAAAGCTAGATCCACCACCCCCTGCTAGCAAAGAAGAGTATCCAAAGATAATCCCTGGTAGTTTCATTGACAGGGGGTCTTCACTGACTGCATCAAAACGCCACAAAAGGCAATCTCATGATAAACAAACCATTGAAGTTCCAATTGGACGCCCGGAATCTCCACCGCCAGTTCACCGTAATAAGAACACTACCAGCCACCCACAAGCAAAAAGTGATTTACAACATAATCAACCCTCAGATGCTAAACATCTTGAACAGTCACCTATAACAATGGATGCAAGGAAACCAAAATTAAGTTCTGATGGGGCAGGTTATTCCTTATCACCAACTGCTACTCAACACGAAGAGGCAAAAAGGCTCTCTGACTATGATAATTTAGTTGAAAATCATACAATACAAAATGAAGGGAGACCTGAACACAGTAACAAATATGCTGGAAAAAGTAGGACACAATCTGTAAACACAATAACTAACAAACCAAATGAAAAACCTAAGAAGAGCAAATCAGGGGGGACTACATTTTATGTCGACAAGGAAATTGGTTCACAGCCTGTGGAAGCAGTTCCTCCAGTTGAAACTGTAACAACAGTTTACACTGAGATTCCACCACAAGAGACTCGCCGTTATAGAAGGCCAGATAAGCTTGAGTTGGCATATCGAAGGGCACAGAACAACTCATCTGTTTGGTTACGCAACCCTAATTCTTTAAATGATGATAATAGTCATGGAAATTCCCATGACAATGCCAATGAAACTGTAAATAACGATCACCATGCTGATTTGCCATATGACACAAATCATCAACATGTGAGCAGTCCTCGTGCAGAGGATCTTCACCATCATAATCAACATCGAGGGAATCCACCACCCTACCATTCAAGGCAGTCACCAAAACTCCAATATGGCATTGAAGAGAGTTTGCATGAAAATGCATTTGGACACAATACACATCATGCACATGATCCATACCAAGACCCAAGAAGAAAACTGCCACCACCCTATCCAGGAGATCAGCATGATTGGGCTGATGATGCAGCTCCTCCTATGGTAAGTAATGAATATTATAAACGAGATAAGCAGCGAACGTTACCCAAGGGTAGGATTGTTACCACAGAAGTACATTATAATGTTATAGAATTGTAGAGTTTTTACCTTTGACAGAGTTTGTTGCTCTTTATTTTTACTCAGTGTTTCTATGTGGAAGGCAAGATTTGTGTGTGTGAAGTACATGCATTTCTACTTTAAAAATTAGATGTTAAAACCTAGTACTGATGTCATAGCTGTTGTTGGTTTTTTATAATTATATTTGCTATATTCAGGTCTTTATTATTATTGGCTGAGAGTAATTAAGGATGTTTTGCATCACTGGTTTTGAAAAAGGCCATAATCATAATCTAAGGCCAAAAACCATTTGTATTCAGTGAATCATTCAGTATTTGATTTTCTTGATATATTTCTATGCCATTGTTGATGTCAAGCCAGATGTTAAATTATTACATGGTTATCGTCATTTAAATCGCTTAAAACTCAGATATGCCACTTGCAATTTATCATTTCTATATAAAGGTCTCCCGAGAGAAATTTTTACATCACCAAAATATAGTAATGAATAATTCCTTTAAGTGAGAGGAATCATTGTTATATTGATAGTTGCCTTTTCACAGGAAAAGGAAAGTAACAGGAAATTGTTTGTAGAATTTGTGTTAACATTTATATTCATCCAATTAATGTTATTCTTTTGTGGATGCTCTTGGTGAGTGCATAGTTTTTTGTGATGGAGAAGAGCACTATATCAGTTATTGAATTGTGAATATTTTCCATTGCCTAGTCAAGGTTCTTTGTAAATAGCGATTTTCCAACCTAAGGCATCTCTGGTTAGTGATACCTAAATTCATTTGTTTACCTCATGTAACTTCAATATTTAAGTTAGCATATTGCCAACATTGGTGGATGCATGCACTGAGCATAAAACTATAATGCACTGAGCAAGGACCAATATTTTGGGAAATTCATTGTTTGATTTTTGACCCAAATAGTGGTAATATCATTTCAAAACAATAGTTGAATATCTACTAGCACCATTTTGAATTTTATAGTATCCCTACTTTTGTCTTAAAGGGAATGCAATTGAATTGAACATAGTTATAAGCTAAATTGTTTCCAATTATGCATTGAATCATTATTAAATGATTACTTTATTATTGTGTAAATTCATGTGAAATTTCAATTTAACTTCTATCTAAACATTTTGATGATTTCTTGTCTTGTATTTGTTATGGAATGTGAGTTGCTATACAATTTCTGTAAACAAGTATGAAGCTGTTTACTTTCAAGTTTATCCCTCACTGCTAAGTTAAAAGAAGAATAGCAGTTAACTCTATAGAGCACCATGAATATAACTGTTGCACTAAAGAATTCCGCAAAAACAACTTTGAATCAACTGAGATGCATCTCAAAAGTCGTCAACAAATTGTTGATTAACTTGGACAAGTAAGAGCCAGTTGTCCAATGCATCTCAGCCAGTTTGATAATATTCGAAGATTACTTTAAGAAATGTTTGAGTTTCAATGAATTGTATTTTCACTTCTTTAGCTGGCTTGTAGTGCAACTTTCTTGTGTAATATGGAGCCTTAAGTGATTTTAGTAGTGTCATATAGTTAAGCTGCTTCGTGATTTAATGTGTTATTATATCACCTTTACACCACAAATCTTCTTACATCCTTTTGCCAACATAAATGGTTTGATATGAATGATCCTTTTGACTTCGTTGTCATAACATTTAGTTAATGGTCAATTATGAAGGGCGTTTTTTAATTATATGTAATATGACATGACACTTGGGATTATCTGTTGAAATAAAAACATCTCACTGGATACAAGGCCATCCTTCTATCAAACTATTATTAGTATGGAGGACCAGAGTTTTTTTACACCGAGGGGTTAAAATGTTTTTTTATGAACTGATTCAAGAACGTAGGCCATTACTGTAATAGAAAAAGTATATTCCTTGTGTAATCAATTATTTTTGTTGAATTCTTTAAAACTAATGTTTAAAAGTCAAATCAATGGGTTTATTACCACTTTGCTTTTCCTGATTATTTTAGAGTTGTTTTATAGCTGTTGTTTTGTGGTTAAAATGCAGAATAAACAATATATTTTAAATTACAAGTTCTTGTACCTAATACAATTACAGTAAGGTAACAAGAAAAATTAGCATCAAAAATTGTTTAAAAAAGCTTTTAATTGTTATCATGATTTGCATTAAATATGTTGACTGCCAGGTTTATATATTTATTACTCGTACCTAAGTTAAATGGGATAAAGGCAAATTAATTAATTTGGTAATATTATAGTTATTGTAAACATATATAACTTAGTTTTCAGATACTAGTATATTTTTGTCACTTAGAAACATTAATGTTAATCACAAGTCTTTTTAAACACCAAATTCAAAGTTATTTCATTTTTTCTAGGAATATTTTAATAATGATTTTGTCATTGATGTGGATGAAGTTTCAAATGAAGGCCAAGAGCGAAAAGAATATAGCATTGAAACATTACTTTAAACTAATGAAAATTAACAATGAAAGAATACTTTATAACTTATACTTAAAAATAGTTTCAGCGTTTCCTAAGATTATTTAAAATTTTTAAAGGATTTGATATTATGTCTTGGTATTTTGACACTTTTTCTGTGTTAATAAATCTGAAAGCTAAATGGTATCATTAACTTTTATCAATTTTATGAGTTAAAATTTCAAGAAAATGGATGTGAGCATTTAACTGGCAAGGCTTAAATTGTTGTGGAGGGTATCAGAATTTAAAGTTTACATATCTAACCTTTAATGCTATTTAGCAAAGCATTAAACTAAGGAGGATTCAATATCTTGTCTACTTTGCAGCTAAAAAAACTGGTCTGTTGTCAGATATCAGATATTTATAATATTAAAACCATTAATGTCATTCACATTAACACTCAGGTTGTAAAGGCCCTTTAAATAATCTCTTTCTCACCAAGAAAATATTGTTTGATTGCTATGTCCTTGTGTGCATAAAATAATGTATTATTTTTAATGTGTTTGGAAGGTGGATTCAATGTTGGCTGGAATTAAAATTTAAGAGCATTTTTGATGATCAAGTCTCTTGAAAATTAGGAAATCTCTAATAACCTTAGTTTTTCCCTCTTAGAGATTGGAGGAGAAGTCTTATCAAAATTTAACATGTATTACATGTAAACAAAATTGATGTGCTTTTTAGATGGTACAACTTGAGGGCTGTGTGTTAGACCACAAGGCCTTGCAGGTTTGTCATAGAAATCTAAAGACAGAAATGGCAAGTAAGAGACTACCTTTAGCTACTAAATTGTTGTCTCTGAAAACTCAATGAAAACTCACTGAAATGGCATGTTTGCAGATAATATTCTTTAAAGCTTGCCAAGATATATTTTGATATATAATATATTTTGCAAATATCAAAATAATTTCTTATCAGAAAATTGACGGTGGAAAAGCAATTTGTAACTTAACACACCTCTTAGAACTTTAATTAGCTGGAGATTGCAGTGAGAGAGTGAAAATATTTTACTCAAGTGGAAGCCACTCTAAGGAGTATGACACTTAGGAAGGTTATAAAGGCAAGCAGAATTTTATTTTTCAATCATATGGTTTGCAAAGAAAAGCTTATGATCACATTATTGATATTGTTTAATTGGGTTTCTTTTTTCAAATTTGGAATCAGTGGCTAGACCAGTCTTTGTCAGACTGTAAAGTATTTTTCTGCATGGGGTTTGCCAGAACAATTGTTTTGAAATTTGAGGAAAGGAACATTTCCTGCAATATTGTGTGCGGAATTTGAAGCAAAGGCTTTCGAAGAGACCTTGTATTTTTTACGTTTTTTCTTGTTATCAGAAGTCGGAAGATTGTTATCTTTAAGTTTTAATACATGGTTAGATCAATAATTATTTGGTGTCAAATAATTATGTCTGCAGAGAGACGACTAAAATAAGGTGTCAAATATCAAGTTGTAAGAACAGACTGTCAAATAGTAGTTAAGTTTACAACTATATATGGTAATTTCACTCTTATGTTGGTGCTAAGTTCAGGAAGAAAATTCATTTTGGAAACTTAAAAATTATTTATAACAAAATTATAAGAAGTAATAATTTAAAACAAAGCAAGCAATTAGTCTGCTTACTAACCATCCAATATTCCAATAAATATCGTTTTATACTGTGTATTATATAAACAACAAATTGAAACCAAACTTTTTTGCAAGATACTACTTCAGCATCTGGATACGTCTCTAACATCAAACCATTTGCTTGTTAACTAACAATACGTCAATTTGTATGGACACATTCATGAGTTGGGTGATTAATTCTGCTTCTAGAACCCCTACTTCTTAGAAAACAGCATCCCTAATAGAGCCCCGCCGAGTGCTAGGACTCCTCCCACCACTGCTAGGCCCATTAGCCCGTCCAATGTTGTTTTTTCATTTATTAAATCATCTAGTTCTTTTGCAATAGAGTTTTCGGGTTCACTAGAAATAAGTCTTTTTGTATATTTTGAAGCAATCTCATAATCGCCAAGTTTGTAATAAGCTAATGCCAGATAGAATAGAAAATCTCCTTGGTCGCAATGTTTTCTCCGACATAAGTCATTGAATTGCTCAATGCCTTTTCGAATATCATCCCGGTACCTACTGCGAACCAGACAAGAAGCATAATGGAACTGTGTGCTATATTTAGCACCACCTTCTTGAAGCTCCGTATTGTAACTGCTCTCCGATTTCTCGATTTCTTCCTGGTCAAGAAATTCGAGGAAGTGCGCCATCTTGGCAGTCCGTCGTTATTTTGATGCTGGTCCCGTTTTGATTGTGAGGCCGTTGATAATTTTTCTTCCTCGCGCAATGGGAAATGAGCCACTTCTATTTTATTTGTTTGAAAAGCGCTGTGGTTTCATTAAAAGAACTTGTAACCTTTTTAGTAAAGGAAAATTAGGGGCTAGCAGCCAAGAAAACTCTATTCTCAATTTATAAGCATTTAGATTTGATATTGGGTTTTGGCATCTTTTCTTTTATTTATTTTTGTTTTTATTTCGCTTAGTTTAGTTCTTCATTGTTTTTCTTTTTATTAATTTGTATTTTTTAACCTTAACCTTCATCCAAAAAATTTTGTCTTAATGTTGAAATTTTTTCTAGTTCAATGTAATTTTATGCATGCAATATAATAGGGCAAATAACTCGAAAGCTCATCTGAGTTCTCTTTATTTGCCCTAAACTTTATCAATTATAAGTACTGTATGTTTAAACGTGTAGCCTGTAATTAAAAGCTTGAATTTATTATAATTGAATTGAACTGAATTGAATTGAATTGAATTATTCGACCAAACCCGGCAGTCAATTGATTAAATGCTAACAGAGTTGTTGCGTAACTGCCCTCGGAAAATTCAGGTGACCACGCCTTTTAAGTTGTAAAGAAGCAACCTTCAAACACACGAAAGTACCACTAGCGCAAAGATTACAACTGATATATTGTCTGTACGCGTTGCCATTTTCCTTGGTATTCTCTGCTAGTTATGTTGTTGGCTTTGTTATCAAATCGCTGATAGATTTAAACCAGTTTTACCTACTCCTTACAGATACTTTCGATCTAAAAGTTACCTGAAATTTATAGGACCGCAGCCTTGCACCTGGTTGTCTTAATGTATGGATTTAAAATAATCTTTAACGTGAATTACAAACTAAGTTTCAAAACTTGTTTTCAGCTTGGTTCACAATTTAAAAGTACAAATAATCCAAATTTAACAAATAAAGAAACGAAAAGTGGTAAAAACCTAATACAAAATTCGAATAATGAGTTATAAACTTATAGTGCTAGTTAAAAATGCTATTTTTAAATCCATCCATACTTATTAAAAGAGTCTGGCTTAAGTTTGTCCATTAGATAATATTTACTATGGGCTTCTCGTAGCTCCGTAAGTAGACGACAGCATGTTTAATGTGTTAAATGAGGGATGCGGAGAAATCTCCCTCAATGGGAATATCTTCTTTTATCCCCCCCTTGAAAACACCTTGAGTCCTGCTCATTGCACATTACCTGTCAGTTTTGAGATGTTTAATAAGTGTTCATTTTGTTGGCACAATTTGTACCACGTTTTATGTTCTGGCTAATGTTTGCTTTCCCCGAACCAAACCATGGTCAATTGAGTATGTCTAAACCCTGTAATATATTTCACTGAATTATTTGCTCCTTCGTTGCCCTGTCATTATCTCTGATTGCCGCTTCCTAGTTCCACTTGGTTTTAATGACTGCAACCATTTTATATTTTACAGCTAAACTTTAGATATGATATGACATTTTGCTTTTCCAAATTCCAATCGTAATTCGTAGAATCCTTTGTAAGAGTGGCCATTTGGAGTAGCAAAAGTTGCTTCTCTAGACAATAATGTACAATAGTTCTCTTTATGCAACATTGCAGTGCAGTGTAGAGCCAAAAAATGAAGATGGGGCCATAGAGCTTTTTTCAGTATATTGTACACAAAATGAACGTTACAGTTGTTTTCGTTTGCATGGCCCCTCAATATCAATTTCTCTACCTAGTTTACCTGTTACTTATTGACTTTCCAGGTATCTAGAGGTCTATTAAGGTCACAAATGAATGCAAATGTCAAACAGTTATATCGGTTCAATCAAAGTGTTGATCCTGGCAGAAATTATCTATAATGTTCTAAAATTAACCAGAAAAAATAGGAGAGGGGTGAGTCCCTCTGAGCCCCCTCTTCTACAGCCCTGCTTCCATAACCATTACAATTTTCATTCACTTCTAAGAATATGATACATATTGCGCCAACTACTTTTAGATTTTCCGCATAGAGCTCAGTCATCCCTAAATTCGGCATGTTATTTTTTACTTTCTTTTTAGTACTTGAGTAGTAGCTGATATTGTATCTATCAAAATAGCGTTAATGGTGCACGTACATATCAATTTCTGAATCGAATGGTAGAAATCATAGGCGTAAACTTACGGGGGCTCTGAGGCTTCAGCCCCTCCTGAAGAAAACCGAGAGGGGCTGAGCCCCCCCTGGAAAATAAGGAAATGCTTCACCAATTTTAAGATTGGTTTGTTATATTATTGGTTCCACGCATAAACAATTTGGGTGCCTAAATAGAACTGACGATCTCAACCTAAAGAAACTGATTATGATTTAAAAAAACACTTTCCATCATCTCGTGTGTGTTTCTTCTTCCTCGATAATGAAAAATGCACGAAAAAATCACCTATAAGCCCTTAGCTAATCCATTTTCTATCCTGTGACTCCAGCAGCTGCCATTAGGAATTGTCATTAATTTTTTGAGCCCCCCTGAAAAAAATGCAAGTCTACGCCTATGGTAGAAATGATATGGTTTCTTTAGCGAAAGTTTTTCCATTCCGAATCTCTTGCAAGAATTTAGAGTCGGCGCCTATATGATAAGATCAATCATATTTGGTACAATTGGAGAGACTTATTCTCCATATCTACATAAAAATCCAGTCATTGCTGCATTCCATGAACGTTGCACTAATCAGGCGCGCAACCAGGAATTTCAGAGGGCAGGAGTCCAAGACAAAAAACGACGCAATTTTTTCAAAAGAAGGGTACTTTTCCTCCTTTGTCCCACAGGGCCCCCCCCCTGTAGTTGCGCGCCTGCTCATGATCATCCAGCTAACATAGCACTTCACAAAAAGTACCTTTTACTTTCTAGCGAAGGATACCTCTCATTGGACTGTTAGCGATACCGATCAATCGATTTGTATAGCCAATTCTATCGTGTAGAAGTAGCAAAAAAATAGAAAGTAGCATTTCTGTGAATGCGTTCACGTTGCTGTTATCCCTTCCTAAGCCAATAATGTCAATCATTGAAGTTTACAACCTTTTATTTCTTGATGTCAAAGTTTTGGATAATCTCATTAAAAAATCATATGGGTTAAAGTTGTCTCAAAATTGGCCATTTGATCTTTCTTGTCTTAAAACCATAAGCAATGGCTGAACAAGTCGTGCAATTTTTTGCTCAGGGCTCTATTCAAATGAACCAGTACCTATTTTACACTGGCCGTATTCAAATCAACCTGTGCTCACCTCATAATTCAATTGACTACTTTTTTATTCACTTTATTTAATATTGGTTTACAAAATAATACTTAATAAACAGCTAATCAACATCAACTTGTAACAATAACAAATATAAGAAAAATTGTGATGTTTACAAGTAACCAATATTAGAAACATATGGTGTGCATAATCTACGCGAGCAAGTAAGATCCGTTTGTTTAATTTTAGTTTTGAATACTTTACAATTTTCTGTCAATCGAATATCTAAAGGTATAGAATTCCATATAGGATATTGTATCTAGCCCATAAGTAACAGTGTTCGGTTTTTTTGTATAAACGATTGATTTCGTAAATTATATGCAAGTTCATTCAACTGAAATATTTATTTCATAAATACTGGATTTAAGTCATTTACGGTTTTGTTTCTTTCTATTGCTAGTAGTTGTAGGTTCTTTTAATGTATACTGAAATCATTTTTTGAGAGAATATTTTCAAAGCTTGATTCAAAATCATTGTAAGCCACTCTCAGTGCCCTTTTATGGATACTTTCAATAAATTTTTTCAGATTTTTGGCTACAATGCATTCATAAAAGTGGGCAATAGTTAAAGTGACTAAGTGTAAAGGTTTTCATCAATAGTGATTTTTTTTATTCATTCATATATGGGGCGATTCTGACTAGGGCATTTATCTGTTTACCTGCTTTTTTACATAAGTTTTTTATATGCTCTTCAAAGTTTAGTTTGCTTTCTGAAGTTATTCCAAGTAATTTGCCTTATTTCATCTCTTCGATTATGACATTTCCTATTTAAAAATTTGCTTTTTAAGTTCTGGTCTGTTTCTGTTAGAATATTGTGAAAGTTACATTTGTTTTCATTTAGTAACAATTATTTAGTAACTACTGTTTGTGATAAACTTTTCCAGTATTAGTTGCCATCGAGCTGGTATACAAAGCTCATTAAATGGCAAATTGAATACTTTTCATTTTGTGAAACATGGCACCTTAACCTCTGTGCATATATTGAGACCTTTCCTATTATGGCCACTTGCTAAACATTGTCAATACAATCTTCCCTATTACTTTTGTTGTCGATCCTTCAATATCTGCATTACTGTCCTCTGCAGTTTTTGCTAACACTAGACAATCTCCTCTTTGCTTCATATGCTTACTATTTTCAATTTGTCTTCTCTTGATCAGTAAGAACTTTACCTGTTTTTCCAAAGGTTTCCCTTCGGAATAGCAGGTAAAGGTCTCACTGGAGCAAAATCGTTGCTTAACATTTGCTCCTGCTTAACCTCGACGATTTTGGAAATCATGAAATTTCATCATTTAGAATAGCTTTGGCTACACATGAATCCGGGCACTAAATATATATAAGCTTGATATCTTTTTCTTTGTCTTGTTTTATAAACCTTTTTCGTTTATTAATGTCACAAATTTCTTGGGGGTCAAAGATTGTATTTTTTGAAAAAAATCCTGCCATATTAACTAGAGCCAGCCAGCATTAATCAGGAGTGTTTTCCTGCCAACTAGAGGTTGAAAATATTTCAACATTTCTGCTGTAAAATCTGGCTTTTTTCCGAAACTATATAATATAATAGTATAAGAATATATAAGAAATAGACCTCAGCATCTCTAATATCTCTTTTGAGGATTTTTGGTCTTAAAGCCATATTGCAAGGATCACAGGTAGAAAAAATACAGCAGATACGTTCATAATGCACTCTCATAACTCAGGATTCCAAATCAAATCCTCACCCCATCTACTTATTGATTTTAAGAAGTTTTCTTGCATTTAGGGATTTGACAAATGCTTTCTGATGAGTCATAGAGCTTTTAAAGCTTGTTTTATGCTAATTCAAGAAAAGTACAATGTCAATGTATACTGAATTTTTTGGCCGTTCAGCTGACGATACAACTGCATCGTGGTCACGCCCCTTTTTCATTCAGTTTCAACCATCATCCCATCCCTAAAAAGACTAGGTATTGCTCTTATCCATGACTGATACAGATAGAGTCATATAGGTGAACCCAAACTACCTTTTTTCCGCTATATAGAGTTCCTGTTTACTCTCACAAATTCCCTGCATCTATTGTTGTTTATACTATTTAACATAACATAAAACGAAAGGAAGCGGTGGAATCTAGCAAATAAATCCATATGTACTTTTGAATAGATTCAAATGCCAATAAGTGAATCATGTAAACGAATGCATATTACTCATAAGTCTATGGTTGCTTTTGCCATCTTAATTTCAAAAGTTACTTGACCATAGACAGTTCTGGGCAGAGATGCCTCCCAATAATTTACTGAGTTTACACTGCCTTGGATTTGGGGTATACATTTCTTCAAGTGATTTCTAAGGTTCTATGTCCATTTTATACCATCAGTATAACTGCAATAGTACCTCCAATTCAATTAGCATCCCTGGTATGCCTCTGGTGTCTACGGTACACTGGGTACCAGAGCAACATGAATACTTTTCTCTCCTGTCTTCTAATTCCACGTTCGTATTAATGTGACTCTGATACTCAGGCAAATGTCCACGGCTCTGTTCATTTTGCCATAGATGTTAATTTTTATCGCTTTAACACTTTTTTAATTCAAAAACCAGATACATATCATAAATTGTTTCTAAGACTATTAAATAACAGATTTTGATATTACACTTTGATACTACCTTGACTACTTGATAAATCTGCTCGGTTTTGTTAATATGAGAGTAAATGTTCAAGAAGCAAATTTCTTTTTGGACATGTTCTTACATTGCTTTTTTGTTGTTTTTTTTTGCAAATCGAGCCACGGTGTGTTTATGAGGTTTGTTTTTATAAAGGTTAAGCGTGTGTTCAATGTTGGATACAAATCTAATTTTATCACAAATAAACATCAATATCAGCTTATCAATATAGTTCTGTCTCTGTTCTGGTTTAAGGGCCGCGGAACATATTACAGATTAAGGGCGCTAGAACGTTTTTTGAGGGCTAAACATGCTAAAAACCAAGAGCAGGGCGTTTTTTATATGGCTCAGGCCCCCCTAGACCCCCTTTTTTCTGCGGTCCCTGGCTGTGGTTACACATAGATCGGTGCAGGGAAAGTTCAAACTAGCAATGAGCTGAACGAAAAAGAATACAAGAATGGACCCATTTCTAAACCCGTATAAATATACAGCCCATTTTTAGACCCAAATACAGCTAGATAGAATCAAAATATATCGCATTCAACCAATTAGCCAATCTGTATCTATGCAAATTAATTAGTTTAGTATTTATTTCACAGGCTTTTATTCATGCTAAGACTTTTGCAATTGAGGTTTTGACTTTAATCAGCGGCAGCAAATCCTTTACAATCATCCTCAATTTAAAGATCGGCTTTCGACACTGACTGAATTCTTTGTCTTCACCCTCTATTACCCAAACAAATCTTAAACGTATTGGATTTCCTCTTGAGAAACGACTGTCTCTGCCAATGCTGCATGTTTACTCGCATATTATTGCCCTCTTATTTTGTTTGCATAGGAATTTGAGAAACTTTAAGAAGAATTTAACATCGGCACAAATCGATTTTTGAATCAAATCCAGAGATAAAAGCACATCATGGCATGTCATGTTTGATTTTCAATATCTATGACGAATTTAGCTTCTGGCAGAGTGTAAAGTGCACGAAAGACGTTATTGGCAGGTAAGTCCACCTTACAGTTTACAGAAACGATTAACTTAACCTTTTCGTTGCAAAGATGGATTATCTGTCAATTTTGTCATTAAGACATTTTTGCAACTCCAGTTATTTGTTTATTAAGACATCTTTGCAACTCAAGCTATTTGTTTGTGTCATACTTGTTATCAAAGTGACGGAATCCTACCAATTGCGATTTGCTCTCACATACGTTGTTCTAAGTAAATCGCTCAAAAACCTACAGATATCAACGCTGGGTCCAATCTGAACCCTTACAAGGTAGCTAATTTGGCAATATCTTTGATGATTGCACTATACTTGTAGAAAGAGGCTAACATAGAATGACAGTGCTGTATTCTTCATAATCTGTGTATTCTGGTAACCCTAAAATGAAAGGACCTATCCCATTACCAGATTGCTTTTGAGGCCCTGAAAACCTGAATAAGTTTACTGCCATTGCCAATACGCAACCGTTTGCCGAAAGTCCAAGCATTAAGGTAGAATCTAAAGCTCTCTCTTGAATTTTGAAGTACTACAGTCTTACGAACCTGGAAATCGCATTCCTGTTATGACGTTCATACAAGTCTAAAAAATTAGCCGGTATTGCTCTATTCTGTCTACTGATTAAGTTAAATTTGTGGTCTACTATTGAAAGGGCAAAACACTAAAGGTGTCCAGTAAAGTTTACATCGCTAAAACAAAAGAAACGGTTTCCAATATAGTGTTAACAACAAGTATAGACCATTTTCAGTTTCGAAATGGTTCCAAAGAAGGTGAACGAAATTCATAATGGAAGCTTGGGGGAGTGGGCATCTGCTTTCTGGTTAAATACTCCGAGGTTGCAAGGGGATGGGCTGTCCAATATTGAGAAAGTGGGGGATGGGCTATCCAAAGCTTGCGACGACCACGCCTATTATTGAAAGAACTTTTGAGAATAACTTTGCTCAACTCAATATCAACTCAATCGTATAAAACTGATAAGTGATTTAACTGTAGCATTTCTACTTAAATACCGTGGCACTGAATCTGTAAGGGAATAAATATGTTTAGGAACAAGCCCCGAGCCTGAAGCAACTTAAAAACGCTATAGCTAGCGAATTATGTTAGAGAATAATCTTCTTTATGTTTTTTCATAATTCAATGTAACGATTCTGCGCCTAACTATCGCCAGTGGCTCAATAACTGTTGATCAACGTAAGTGATCCACACAGCTATAATTAGCAATCTTGTTCTTTATGTTTCTTCTGATCACACAAATTTGAATTAGAGGTGAAATACCATCAAAATCTTCCAGAAACTTTATACAATCAAAATAGTAACAATGCTCAGCTAAATCAAAGAACGTAGGTACGTAGGGCAGGATAACCACGGTAGTTGATACAGGAACGAGGCAAAAAGTAGAAGATTCCAATTAAATATGTACGTTGCGTGTGGTACTTCATCCAAATTAATGACAATATAGTTAGCAAATAAATTTAGTACCAGAATGAAAATATAAGATTTTGATTGTTAACAACATGACGTTTCGAGCATATATTCGTTATCAAGTGGCTAGAAAAATAAGAGCCACTCGACCATTAGAGCCAACCATAACCAATCCTTCCACATCAGATCTCACTTTATCTGTTCTTCTTCCTGTGTGATTTACTGCATCATCTGCACCAAAGGGTCCTGTTTGTTCTGCTGGACCGGATTACCTTGGTTAGCTTCGCCTTGGTTACCTCAGTGAATGGTCTCGCTTTCGCATAGCGAATGAGGAAATTCGATTTGCGCATGCTCAAATGTTTACTCGCTTAGTCGCGCGACCAGAGCGAATCAAGTGGAAACCGGCCTTAAAAGTGAGACAAAATGTTCTAAGAGTTTAAGTGAGGTTGGAGGGGCATGGGGACGTTTTCCGAAGACCCAAAATGCTCTTTTCACCGCCTTTATTCAGCTGATCCAGTCTTGTAAGATTGCAAGTTAATTTTTGGCCTGTTGTAAAAAGGAAAAAAGAAGATTTGAAAATCTGCTGACCAAAGGGAGTTGAAAGTTGAAAGGTCTTTTTGCTGGATAAGCTTAACACAACATTTTTAATTTTTCAAGTCTGGGACATTCTCAAAACGAAGACGGGCTCAGCTCTTTTATCCTCATTTGAATTCTACAAGAAATGACTTGAGGACGATGAAATCGTGGTAGAATTGACGTAGTTTTCTATGATCCATATTGCGTAGGTTCTATGTTCCAATTTGGCAAAAAGCCACTTTCTTAAAATGTAGAGCAATTAAACAATAGTTATTTCATGCTACAAGCATGTTTTCCATTTTTAATATCTTCACAAGAAGTACCAATAACTTCTGATGGTTATTCGGATGGTTTTCCTTAATATCAATATTAATTGTGAGTGGGTGCGGTGAAATATTGACAACGATTACGAAATTCATAAGATAATCAATCACATTAAGCTGAACTTGGCTTTCCAAAAACATTGAGAAGGGAATTCTACCTTCATGCAACCACAGAGCAAGAATAACAAGATAGGTCACTCTTGGCGGTCCCTCTGTTGTTTTTGAAACTCAGAATCTCTGGCGTCAGCAATAAAATACATGCAAGAACTCGTTTTCAATTCGAGGTTATGCAAGTCTTGTCAAGGGAGAGAGTGCACCATCAGAGAAATAAGAGGCCAAGAGACTGATTTTTCTTGTCAATTTTCTTAAATTTTTCGCGAAAAAAGTTTTTCAAATATCAGAGCAATACAATGCTGGTTGTTGCGAGAAAGATTGTTTGTTGTTTTTACAGTTTACGAACCATGAAGTTATATAAAAACTTTGAGGGGACTGATAGATTTCGCACTTTGAAATCTTTGATAAAGTTTCCTTATCAAATGCATCGGACTGCTGGATAAATTCAGCGTGAGGCAGTACATGATCTGACACTTTGTTCAAGAAACTCTATCCGAAGGGTCGATGACAACTCAGCTCTGGGAAGCATTCTTGTATGCAGCAGTTTTCACTTCCCTAGTACTACTGCTCTGATGGACGCCCCAGCCAGTTTTGGGAGTTTCCTTTGTCGAAGACAACATTTTTGTAGCAATTGTAGTAAGAAGACAAATATTTTCCAATGCACAGTAAACTTTCACGAAACTGGTTTGCATGCTTATTCTCGTTTTCATACCGAGAATAAGCATACAAAATAACGCATGCGCGAGTAAATTTAGGCTTCACACAAAAACGCTGAGTCATCCTTCTGGTTTTTCTTATTCTGTGATACATAAAACTGTGTACATTCAAATGATTTGTAAGAGTAAAGGCCAATGTAAAGTGGACTTCAAAACAAAGGCGCCGGAGCCATCCCCATTGCCCTAATGGTGGGAGGGCAGCAGCAAAGTGCCCTTTTCAAGAACATGATTTCTGTGCAATATTAATTCATTTAAATATTTTCAATGCTAATAAAATCTAGGTTGCGAGCATCTCTTGATATCAACATGCAAGTCAATATTATCCATTTTGATCTTTGGTCATCCTGAAGAACTGAAAATCGATTTGCAAAGCAATTTGACCACCAAAATATTTTCGTTAATAAGTTCTCTTAAACTTTCATGATCATGCTGGACAGATTTCAGATTGCTACCAACAATGGCTCGCATATGCTCGATGTATCAGTCAAGGCATCAATGATGGCAAAGACGTAGGAACCGGGAGGCACAGTGGGCACGTGCCCCAAAATTCAGTTTACCTGCCCCTTTACAGCTCACCGAGTTGCTCTTTTTGCCATTTGCATAACCAAAGAGTGCCCTTGAATTGCTAAGGTGCTATACGAAATGAGCAAAGGGATGAACTTTTGGGGGCAAAGATCTAAAAAGTTTATTTTCGATCTGGTTTTAGAAACACCAAAATACATCCTCACGACAAGGGTTGCCGAAAGGTAGTGGCGATGGAAAATTGGCCATGGGCCTTGAAGTTTAGGGCGCTCTTAAGGTTTCCAGTTTGTGAAAGCAATTAGTAAGAAAATTGTGCAACTTTTTAAACGATTGCCAGAAGGTTAATGCAAAAAATAAGTTGAAATGAATTTCAAGGTAATCTAAAGGGCATGGTCACCAAAATGTTTCTGCTAGCTTTGCTCGTAAAGGGCCTCCAAGACCTTTCAGCTGTACTCCATACAACTAAGCCAGAAAATGATATCTATGTAATTGTTGCCAGGCTTTATGTAAAAGCCCTTTCAACAATAATAAAATGATATTGTTTTTTCTGCGCTCAAGTTGTTTTTCAAACAGATCGAGCCAAATTTGGAACTCAGTTCAAAACGAAATAAGTACTCTCAAACTTAACAAAAATTGAAGAAAAAATATCATAATTGTTATTGTTCAATGCTTGTGATAATTGCGAGAAATACTTATGAAACTTCAGTTATATTTGATTCAAATTACATTTAGTGTTGGTAATTTAAATTAGTTGGTTTTATTTAGCTTGAAAGGAGCTACAGATTGTACCAACGTCAAATAAAGAAAGAAAAAAGGAAATTGAGAGGAGTTATATCCTAAAGCCATGGAGTTATGTCAAGCCATGCAGATGGTCATCTGAATAAAATTTATTTAATATAAAGTAGGATTGGGTCCAGCCTCCTTCGATGGTTGATGTTGGGTGGAGGGAATTCCGAGAATAAAATTTGATTATAGTTTAGGTTAAAAGTATTTTTTATTTGTGTTGCCTTCATTTCCGAGAGTCTTTAGGGCGAAGCAACGCAAAATTCCCTAGGGGCTACGCACCCAGAACACCGACCCTCTCTCCCTTGAGAGGGTCTTCACCTACAACCAGGCTTCGTCATTGGCTAAACGACAATTCTCGATCTGATTCATCAGCAAACTTTGACACCCCAAGGTGCCCTTTCTGCCGGTCCTGCCCCCGCCGCATCACGAAGCTTCCGGTGCCTCTGCTTCAACATCTGTTAGCAGAGTTAACGTAAAGCAAAAGAGTTCCAATTTACTGACCAATGGTTCCCACAAAAATAGATTTTGAAAAAAGGTCTATAGCTTTGCAAAAGATAGGGGACATGACCCCTTCGTCTGAGGCCCTGTTGACTGTCTTTTTGTCGTAAGGTCCACAGTGTTGTGTGTGCTATTTTTAGTCTGAAGTCTCAAGTATTTCTACATATCGATTTCGCTTGTTGTTCTTTGATGATTAATATTACTGTAAAAATTACTAATCACATCGTCGGAGTCAAATCTTATTCTGAGATCACTCCAGACATTTCAGATCAATTCATCTATCTAAAAATTTTACAGTCCAAACACTCTTAGGCTTTTGATTTAAGTTCCTTATCAAATGGGAATACTTCTTTCAAAGTACTCCATGTTAACATGATGTATGTGGCAGCACCCACTTAACCATCATTGACCCCAAAAATCCAAGCCTCCTTTATATCCTAAATAAATCAAATTGCGGGAAAGGATTGATTAAAATCTCCTTGCCACAACATACAGTCTTCCTGGAAGCATATTCAATTGACTTTTGTTTTCTTGTTCAAAGTGTAATCAGAGATAGAACGAGCAACAACAGACTATATTCTTTTTTTAACAATCTAGGTTTATTGGCTTGGCTCACAGACCTCCTTGTAGCAGTTGTCAAAACGTTATCGTTGAAGAATCTTGAAACTGTTTCTGAAGCCACAGATGACGCTTGCTCTAACAAATGCTAACAGGGATCGAATTTCCTGTCAATTCTATTGCCAAGAGTCTTATGGTTTTATTTAAGGGGAGCACATAAGCTGCAAGGGACTGACAGAAAGATCTATATTAGCTGTAAGGTAGGTTTTTGCAGATTACTTTGATACTATTCTCTAATCAAATTTATCTCCTGTCTCAAGACTTTTGTCCGTTGTAAATGCACCAGCAAACAATATGTCTCGCTGTACGTATGTCACATGTGATTGCAGTAGCCTTGTCTCAAGTGTCATGACATTTAACTTAGCTCAATAAGGTTAACAAAAACATCCTAGGAACATTGTGAAACGTTATTCGTTTGGTTTCATCATTTGTGTAACAGCATATCATGGTGGCAAAAAGCAGAATAAATTACCCAATGCGAATTTCTCTAGTCGGTACATTTAGGTGTTGTGACGTAACCGCTTCTGCTGCTCTCTATTTTGCTTAAATGGCGAGACTGCCTTTCAGATCTAATTTCGTCTAGACGATAGCTGCTTTTAAAGTCTTTTAATCAGTCAATGTGCATGCCATGAATGTAAAAGTTCGATGGGTAGCAAATGTTTTGGTAAAAGTCAGAATCATTTCAAAGACTATCTGTAATTTACAGTCCTTGCCTTCTTCATATACTGCACTAATTTTTCACATTAGCAATAGCATCCCCCTATCTCCCACCGAAACTTGGTGCCTTTCTTAATGATAGTATGAGTTCTTCTGAGTTCTGAAGTAATTTTCAACAAAGTCAAGTCATCGAAAAAATGTTTTTTAGTATTTTAGAATTCTTTCCTATAACCTGAAAGAACACCTCAATATTCCTCTTGATATGCAAAATCAGCTGAAACTATTCAAACTGACTGAGATATGAAATTTTAAAAACATAACATTTGCCAACTAGTCACTATTGTCGTTGCCCGGTTCCTAAATTTTTCGTTGCCCGGTTAATAAGTCTTAGAACCAGGATGAATTTACAGTGGTTTGTTGGAGAAGTAGCCCGTGCTTTTGTGGCAATATCTTAGTTGATTTGCAGCAGATTAATCTGATTTTGCTAATGGAGAGATATTTCATCGTGTGTTTTCAGGCCATGGGGGCAGAATTCTAAAATTTTAAATGTATATTTTTCGTGACGTCACTATGCTATTTTATTGACTCCTGAAAGATAATTGTGATATCTAACTGTAAAACAATCATATTTCTTCTCTTGGGAAGTAGTGGTTTTGGATTTCCATACAAGGTACAGTTGCTTAAAATGTATAAGGATTTATTAACTGTATGCATTCTTAAGCTTAACCGCTATCAGGTCTCCACCTCTTCCACAACTACCCCAATCTGAATTCCGTCATAAAAACAGAAGCAGCTAAAACTGCGTTAAAGCCAAACCAAATGGCAATTCTAGTCCTTAAAAGAAAGCTAACTGCCAAATAATCAGGACGAAAATAGTTGAGAATACAATTCGCATTGTTAAAGCCTTCGAGTTACTCGAATTCTTCCCATCAACCACTAAATCCCAGTAAATCGCTGGCATTAAGAAATTATCTGAAATCGAAGACATTGGTGCTAATTGTAAATACCCGTCCAGGAAAAGGCGTATGTCTTCACATTTAAAGTTACATTCTCATCTTTGCTGCTATGGAGCAATAATGTATATTTTTTAATTGGCGAGTCGTACCCAGGGCCGTTGTTAGCTATTGTGTTCAAGGAGGGTGCCTTGACCCCATGTTCTAAGACAATTCCCGTCAACGGAAGTAAAAACATCATTGCAGCCTTCATCGAAATTTGTAAAGGGCCTTGTATCCAGCGAAGAGATGGCTGTAATTATGACAAGTGAATTATTGTTTTACATCACTAGAAATAAAAATATATTACAATACACTCTTTTTTTATACAAATAGGCACACGAGCCTCCATACAGGTCAAAAGATAAGAAAAATTTAAGAACAAGCTGAGGCTCAGCGTCTGTAAAAAGTAACTTTGAACAACGTTTCATTTCAGTATCGAGGATTTTTGGCCTTGTGTGGGTGCTTTTTCGGTTACTCACTTTGTTGGCAAATGAGGCCTGAACACCTTCCTAGAGCGAAAAAGCTATCCATCGCATGGACTTGCTACAAGTCTCTCTCTTTAAAGAAAGGGAAAAAGGAAAAAAAGAAAGGGAAGGAGAGAGACTCTCTCATTCCCCCCAATTTTTTCTTTTTTCCCTTTCTTTAAAGAGAGAGACTTGTAGCAAGTCCATCCATCGCACTGCTTACACCCTAATAATTTAAGAACAAATTAAGAGCAATCTAGTCTCAGATATTCCAGAAAGTTATGAACAGCTAGCCTGACTTTAAATCTACCGTTTCTTATAAAAAGAGTGTATACACGTGTAATGCTAGAAAATATTCATGATTTAATTTACAAGCTAACCAAATACGCGACCCTCAAAATTGATTGGCCGGGAGAGCATTAGAAGATCGAAATACCTTGTTTCCATAATGCTCTCTCAGAAGTTTGTCGTTCAAAGAAAAATAGTATAAACTGTTTAAGCTTTTATAAATTTCATTAAGGTTTTAATTAGTGTTGGAAATATTTTTAAGACTTTTTTTTATAGCTTAATAGAGTTTGACAGATTGTATATGGACTATTAGATTAAGCTCGACAGAAGGCTCTCTAGCAAGGCCTGTAGTTTGGATGCTTGTGTCTTTAGCTCCATTCAGAGACATGGAAAACAGAAAAGAATGATATTGTTGATTTGCCACACACAGAGCAGGCTCGCAAGGAGATTATATGGCTTTTGCTCTTAAAGTAGATCGAATATTCACCTACTATTAGCTTTTTTATTAGTATATTTGCTTAATGAGTTGCAGTACAACGCAGGGATGACCAGAGATCTTTCCAAATCAGAGATCTTTTCAAATCACCCAGGAACTACCAAATATCCTTTCCTTTTCACAATGATGCATTCCACTCTAAAGAAGCAACGCAACAAAACTGGTCCTTATAATGAGGAATTTCGATTGCTAAAAACATTTTAAATCTTATTCTTTTTTATTGAGAAAACAAACTTCTCTCTCTTTAAAGAACCCCTCTTGAAATTAAAAGGAGGCTTGAGACCCCACGCCCCTTCGAGTTTGGGCATTTTGTTTTAGGCATAAATCAGAACATTATATTATATTATATTGTATTATGTTGAATGTCACATGGAAACGGAGTGTAGGGGGGTGCGACACCCCCCCCCAATAGTTCTGTGTCCTTCGGTAAATTTTGTTTCATTCGGTAAAAATCATTTGTTGGTAGCCAGTAGTAATAAAGTGGCGCCAAGATTTTACTTCATTTATTTTTTATCAGGGCCTACAAATTTGTCACTCTTTGGCCTACCAATCTTCCAAACCATGCTACGCCACAGTTGAAAACCAAATTTCAAAAAATGGCGTTTCCATCATTTACCAGTGACCTTAAGGGTGTGGCACCAAAATTAGTGTCTAACACCCCCCTCTATCATTGTTGCCTAAATCCGCCCCTGTCAAATACCTTTTTTGCTGAACTTATGTTGTGTCCTAAAAGGCTATCTTTATGTAGCAATGTTATCGCACCCTCTGGGCACAACTGTTCCAAAATTCTTAAGGATTAGGAATATTTACCTTTAAAACTGACTGATTATTGCATTAAGCGTGCAGTTCAATATTGCAACTTGTTCTGTTTCGTTCAGAAAACCAGTTTATAGCTATATATGACAGATCTTTAAAACAAAAATTTTCATTACCTCCAAAATTTGAGAGAGGGAAGAGATATTTACTACTTCCCTACTTGTCTCACCACTCAAAATGTTTCCGTCACTGTTCATAATACAGATCAACAGCTATTCTGTCACTAAAGGATTTGCTCTTCGGGGGCATCAAGTATTTGAGCCGATTTTGACACTATCCTGCTTAGTGCTGTTTGTATATGACGCTGGCTAGAAAGCACCACGTAAACACGTAAACCACATAAACACGCAAGGTGGACTTTTATTCTCACAGGCCTATGGGGCAGTTTTGAGTTGAATCTGTCTTGACGCAGACATTAACTCTGACCAATCTGTCCACTGGATAAACGTAAGTGCAAATTGATATAGACTTTGTTATAATTATAAAAATGTTTAATGTGTTGAATAGGTGTATGTATTTTCTAACGTAGAGTTTTCGATCCTTGTTCTGTCGTTTTATACTCTGATAATTTTCTAACGAAAAACTTTAGTACTATTTTTCAAAATGTTTGCTTTTTGAAAGCAATTTTCAAATTCTGTCCTACAAAAAGATTGTTTATGTGTTCAATGTGTTTAATGAGATGATTCAAATTCAAGTGCAATTTAAATATTTTCACCCACAGCCAGTACCAGTACCAGTGCCATCAAAGAGCGAGATACAACTTTTTGTTTGGGGGTGCCAGCCCTGATAAATCAGTGTAAAACTGCTATTTAGTCGAATAAACGCTATTTAGGTTTCTTTATGGGGGGGGGGGGGAAGGGGCAAGCCCCTTTCCCGGCCTCCCGGTATCTCGGTCCTTGAGTGCCATTACAGTAAATCATCATGAAATAAAACTGTTAAATGTAAAGCAAAAATTGAAAGTTTCAAAGAGATTAACAAAGTAGACCATGCAAGTCAATTACAAGTACGGTACATCTACAAGTTAATTGAAAGAGTTTTTGGACGTACCCCTTAGATCTATATCGAGCCATGTCCACTCATTTTTTGTAAGCAATTTTTGTAAGCCATTCGGTTAAGAAAAAGAATACTGAAAAATCAAAAATAAAATCACGAAACTTCAGTGCTCTAAGCAAAAAAACAGTTGAATTTTAAAGGAAACCCAGATCTCCGAAATTTCTTGAAAATACATCGTTATGATTGGTCGGTTAGCATATGCTGTACAACAAGAGACAGTTTGGCTAAGGAAATAGATTGTGAAAACTCGTTGTGAAGGAGCAGCACGCGGTTAATCCCTCACTCGTTCCTAGACCTCGAAGTTGCATTAGTCAGTTGTTCACGCCACGTTGTAACGAAAAGGTGTTCACGTTGGATCATGTTTATTGTAAATAGTTTATTATGTTCCTGTTGATGTTATGAAATATTTAAAAACCCAAATGATGTCTTCTTTAAAATGTCCTGACCTAAATCTCTAAAACATTCTTTGAAAGTATCACCAAGAAAGCTTCAAATTTTAATTGTATCGATAATCCATTCCTACTAAGAAAGAGAAAATCTAGACGTAATTATGAATCCTATAAGAATTCGTTTTGACCAGCGCAGTTTGAAGTTTTTCAAAGGCAGTTTTTTTTGTTAGAAGCATTTTATGCTCGATTGATTAGTTTGAGATCTTTTTAGATCAGTTTTACAAAATAATACACGAACTGTACAGAATTGCATAATCTTTTATCTCAGCTGATAGTTCTTCTGTTGATATTTTAATGTTAATGTTTTTCATTAAACCGGGCGTTTTTAATTTTTCTCCTCAATCTTGTTCAGGGTACTTTTTAAATCTAAAAAACTTTTCTTTCGACCTACTTTAAAAAGATTATTAAAATACTTTGCCATTTCTATTTCATCTCAAAATCTTATAGGGACATACTGATAAACAAAGCTTGAAAATATTGAAAATTTATATACAAGTTGGTAGTCAGTACAAATTTAATCAACATGATACATTAATTTCAATTATAATTTTTCCATTAACTTCTACAGGGGTAAATTCATTACCTCAGAATGTTTTAGAGAATCTTGTGACATTGGAGGATCTGGAGACCGAAAAGACTTATTTTGTCAGACTGCAAAGGATCAAAGGGTCTTCAGAAGTCCCAATGTCATTTGCCTCGGCCTTTGTGTCACCTAAATTACCGGCGCGCGCACGGTATGTTGAGAAGATGTTTAATGCTGGAGTAAGCCTTGCATGGTGGCGTAAATATTGTAGTGCTGTTCCTATGGCAAGGTATCTGTTTGAAGCTGCGGCATATGGCTTTTTTATAATGCTGGTTTAAAAATGGTTCTAGTTAAGATGTTCACAGGACCCGGGATGTGTAAAGCCGACTTCGCAAGTGAAAGTTATTTGAATGCTAAGACCAAAAAGACTTTTAGGTCAAAATAAGGTCAGATGACTCAGAGGCAGATTGTCGCTCACTGCCAGTAGCAATGCTGGCTATCTTACGTTGTCTTAGTGGAGAGAGTCGCCAGCTCTCTGTAATTCCAGGCGTAGGAATCACGAGGTGTGGTCACATCGAGAGGAAGGACCAGGACACTGCTGGATAAGCATAGCTTCTTAGTGTCCTAAAAACTACTTTCGGATGCTAGGTAGCAACAAAAACAAACAAATACAAATACAATGTGTTGTCGTTCTTGGTGGGGTCATTTGTAACGCTAGAATAGAAACAGAAACACGTGCCTCTCACTTAGGCAAGAGCAAATCACACCCTTCACTCTTCCTTGCCACCAAAAATGCAATTTTGCAAAAAATCTAACTTTTGATCATACAACCTAGTAAACACTACGAAATATCTTCTTACCGTTCAAAATCAAATAAATACGCTAAAAGTTGGACAAGGTATAGCGGCTTTTGGGGCTTTGTTCATGAATTTGTGAACAGTGATCAAATGACTGTGAAATGAAAAGCAAAGGGTCTATGCTCATGTGGCCATATCTCCGCCAATTTGTAACATGTGGCTGATATTCCACAGTAAGAGGTATTTCATAATGTTTTTTTCAGGTTATGTGGTAAAAAATAAATATTACTAAAAATATATTGACGTCATCATTTGAGAGCTCTTTTCTATTCGTATGCACATTCCTGACTCACTGTTAGGAAGAAGAATGGAAAAATAGCCTAGTACCGTCAACATATTTTGGTGTTAGGACTGTAAATCTTTTACCTCCTTTTTGAAAGCTATACTATCTTGTCGTTCATTTATTATTAATTGAAACAGACACGTTTAACTTGCCTCATATTCAGTTTGATTCCTATCGTATCTTATCTGGTTTCTTCAAAGCAGTGAAAGATTGTCACGTATCTCTTGATAAAAAGATAGGAAAATCTTTCTGAACAAAAACTTTCTGCACCTTGGTAGAAACCTGATTTGGCTTATTCGTATCTGAACTTCAGTCAGTCGATGAAAAAGGCAGATATATTTCTCATTTCTTCCTGCAAAGTGATAATTTCTTCATAAAGCGAGCTAAGAATGCCGATAAATTTGAGGTTTGATTCAGATTTCATTTTAGTATCGCCATAATATCATAGATATACTAGATTGCGTGCGGTAGAATATAATGCTATAATAACGATGAAGGCAAGTAAATTGTATCAGGAAAATGTCGTTAACACTTGATAGAGGCAGAGAGAAGCTGTCGTGTGTTTTTCTGCAAGTTGAAGTACCCAGCCCTCTATTTGGTGCCATGGTTGAAAAGCAATGGCCCAGTCATTTTCACACAAGGCAACTAGTATTAAGAAAGTTGCTGCTTCAGAGCAAATCGTAATTCTAGATAATGCTGGAAAGCGCAAGCTATCTTACGTGTTGGTTGGGTCAGAGATCCCCACAGCTTCCACGATATGTTTTGCCTCATTGCATTTCCATAATAATGACCCTTGAACGTTTTCAAAACTTACTTTCTTTTGCCGTTCCCCCCTTTTTTATAAGAACACAATTTATAAAAACAATGAGGCTCGATTTGCCCCAAAAATAAGAACAAGGCTAGAACATGCTCAGCTTTAGATGAAAAATTTAAATAAAACAATACACATTTTGAAATTCGCAAGCACTCAACTACCGTACCGACATTCTCTTGACATAAAGAACTTTGATGAGTTTGTCCATAAACACTAGCAGTCATTGCTTTATTTTTAAATTTTACCCAGCAAAACGTCCTAGAAACTATATACAGCGTGTATCTTCTCAAATACTTGCAAGAATCACTCTTAAAATAAGAACAATTTTAAGAACATTTGAGCCTAAAACTATCAAAAGTTTAAGACCATCGAGGCTCGGCAAAAATTTTCTGGTTCTTATAAAAAAAGAGTGTACATATGAAATGTTAGGGAATAGTTATAACCATGTTATAGCCATGTAGTTTTCGTGAAAATTCAGAAAAATAAACTTTAATTAATGTTATTACTCGCGAACAGTATAATTTCAAGGGTGATTGGCAATGCACAATACCGATCTATCACAGGCAGTTATCATGTTGTGTCTAGGCCGGTACCTGTTATTGGTTAGAATCGTTTTACAGAAATATTATTCCCAGCACCTTCGCTTTTTTTCTTCCTTTCCGCCGAGTCTTTGCCTTCCGAACATCCCGTCCGAGTCTGATCTCAAGCTACGCAATAACAGCAATAAACGTAAATGCACTGAAATAAAATCTTTTTAAAAGAAAGTACTATTCTGTTTAGCTATTTAGAGCTACTACAGATACAACTCCTATGAAGATAATGGCATGATTTTGTTAATTTTTCTTCTTACCATTTTGGTGTGGCTAGGCCATGCTTTCATACCATGCCTTGATTAGAGAATTTTTTTAAAACGTCTTTGAGCTCTCAACCATTTTCTAGACATACTTATTGTGAAAAACCGATGTTCTCTCTGATTCTTAAATCTTCTCATTAACTAATTGTAAATGAAATGCATCGAATTAGTAAGATTATTAAGAAATTGAATGTAATGATTTTTGATTTACTGTTAAGTTGCACAAATTGTTGCTTATGGGGACAATGTTGTTTGTTTGTAGTGATTTGGCTGGCAATTATGAAATCAAGGCAAGTGCCAGCCAGTGTGAAAGCGACGAAAAATGTTCAAAATGACTTTGACGAAGAAAGGTTTAATCTTTTGCACTCGTTGCTGCGACAGAAGACAAAGCAGCTTGAAATTATCAGCAAGGAATCATCTGAGCAGAGAAAACAGCTGGCGAGAAAAAACCAGATAATCAGCGAATACGAAGTCATGTTTGAACAAATGAAACAGTCAAAAGAACACGATGCAAAATTAATGAAAGACGAACTAGTCTACAGAAATAATGTCATCGAATCGCAGCTGCAAACAATCGAGAAGCTTCGAACAAAGATACGAAAAATGAATTCCCTATTGCCAATGAACCAGTATGAAGCTGTTGACGAGCAACAACAACATAAATCTCGAGACAGAGCAAAAGGGATCTCAGCCGAGCCTGCGAAGGAGCAGAGTCATGGACTGTTGGCTAAAAACATCGAAGTTTTCTTTGTTCAAAAAAAACAGAGGTTTGTTTAACCCTCTTGAAATTATAAAAAGTCTACTGTTTTTTTTGTATTTTGCTTTTATATATCTTGCTTTTTTGTTTGTTTTGTTTTGTTTTGTTTTGTTTTGTTTTGTTTTGTTTTGTTTTGTTTTGTTTTGTTTTGTTTTGTTTTGTTTTGTTTTGTTTTGTTTTGTTTTGTTTTGTTTTGTTTTGTTTTGTTTTGTTTTGTTTTGTTTTGTTTGTTTTTGTTTTGTTTTTGTTTTGTTTTGTTTTGTTTTGTTTTGTTTTTGTTTTGTTTTGTTTTGTTTTTGTTTGATTTTGTTTTGTGTTTGTTTTGTTTTGTTTTGTTTTTTGGTTTTTTTTTTTGTTTGTTTTGTTTTGATTTGTTTGTTTTGTTTTGTTTTGTTTTGTTTTGTTTTGTTTATACAATTAATTATAATTAATTATAATAATTAATTTATATAATTTAAATATTCTCCAAAAAGTGAAAGGTCGAATTCCATAGAGAACATATTCTCAAAAAAGGGATTTTTAGTGTAGCTTCTAAAACCTCAAGAACCTTTTGTTTTCAAATGGATACTAGATCTAAACTTTGCCAGTTCTCTACTCTACACAAAAGTGTACTTTTTAAATGATAACAGGAGTAAAGTAAGACTGCCTGTGTTATCTGGATGGCAAGTAGACGATATGCATGTAGCCACTTCACTTTGAAGCTTGATTTTTAATTATTGATTCAGAGAAAACCAGGGAGGTCTAACTTCTAATACATGTTGCGTTACTCATTTATCCTTTATACACTTGTCAAGTACGCCATCTTGCATATTTAGTTTGGTTCGTGCTCGATTTTCCGAAGGTTGAGATTGTTAGTGAAAACTTTACAAATTTGAAATGTTTTTTATGAATTCCAAACCGGAAAAATTTGTTTACCTTTAACGAACACATTGTTTCTGTACAAGGACAACTTTTATCACTAGATATTTACGGCAAAAGCTCTATGAAGACTTCTTTAATGTTTAATTAAAGTTGCTGCTCGTGATTTTATTATGCTCCTAATAATTTGTATATGTTATCCACCATCTACAGTTTAGGAAAGCACAAAAACTACAGTTGTGCAAATTTTGTTTAAACGCGCCGAGGTCCTAATCCTAGTAGATAAGTGGTATTTGACTGAGTAAGCCTTTTGAAGCTCCTTTCGGGTTTTTTGAGGCTTATTATCTGAAGAACGTATGCCATCTAGGCGCCATAGTGGCAAGGAGAACCTCTTTGCAAAGTATTCTCCGTAAGAATATTGCTTCAATATAGTGCCGGTGGGCGGTGGGGTCAAGATTCCAATTATAACGTTAAAGAGTATTTGAGCAATAACTGAATTTCCTTTTTGACAAGCAACGCTATCTAATCTGAGGTAATCTTAATCGGTGTATCCTTAATTTTTCTTTCCTTGGTATCAGAGAACTTGATATCGGTAAAAAAGGCCGATGCGGTCTAGATTAGAATTGCAATTTTGAAACTGGTTATGACTCTGGCACCCAAGAAATAATATTAGGGGTCATCGTTCTGTTTGATTTGTGGCATTAATTGTTTCAAACTTCAATAGGCCATTTACTTTGTCTCTTTGTTTGATAGTATTCTTCGATACAATTATATTATACCACGCAGTGAAAGCCCCCGAAAGTTTATTTTCCGCAACCAAACTTTTGCATGTAAAAATTTGCATCCAAAGAAGCGGTCAAAAATTTCATTACATGCCGTTTAGACTTGGCTACGATTCTTTCAATAAGAGCGCAAAAGCGCGAACATTGATTGGATAAGTTACAGGTGTATTAAAACGATTTTGGAACGCTTGAGGAAATCCCCTTCATACTCTAGGCTGGTAGACTTGTATCTTAGAGAAAACGCAAACTTGTGTAAAGGTTCCGTAATTCGATATTAGAGGATTGTATATTTCTTCAGATATCAGGCTCCTTGCGATAACAATTTCAACGAACGACATATATTTTAATTCAGCTTCCCCATACTCGTGTTCACTGCAATTCTTCAGGTTACAAACATTAGTCACGATTATATGAGCGGTTTCGCATTACCAAAATGTTCAGCTATTGTTTCACTAAATATGGTAAAAATGTTAATATATAACATGCAATTTCTTACAAGGTGTTCCTGTAACATTTCCATCGTCTTCGGACGAGCATGCGTATTTGCAGGTTTTCATTTCAAAAGTGTTCCAAAGCCTTGAATACTCAGAAATTTCTAGGTACTCGAAAAGTCTCTTCGTAGATTTATTTGCCAATTATAATGAACTTTATTAAAAAAATCACAATTTGGTAACAATATTTAAATCACAGTTGCTGAACCGGGGAGGGGATGAAGGCTTTTGATGATTTGATTTTGGTTTTTACACCCTTCGGGTGCCTAGAAAATGATAGAAACGCCCATGTTTACCATTCAATTTTAAATTTAGAATAAAGAAGTTAAGAGGACAAACAAAGTATAGCTTTTGGCGTCATTTGATTAACATAACAGAATCAAAGCAAAATTCACCGAATGATAAAAATATTGGAAGTGTAGTACCTTCCATACTCCAGGTAAGTCCGTCCCTGAAGCCTTGACTTGATCCTTTCAAAAGCACCGAAACAAGACAGGCAACATGTCACTCGGCAAATGCACAAAGAGTTCAGACCAAATGATGTAATTAAGTCTACGGGCTCTTTTTCAAGTACACAGTACTCATGGTAATACAGCTGGCCAATCTCTGTTAAAATTCCAAGAAATCGGTTTTTTCAGGCAGCTCTGCTCAGTGAACAGAGATGGATTTATAACCAAATAATCAAGTGCTTATAATATAATCAAGCCAGAGACATAAAAACAGAGTTTCGTAACATTTATGTCAAAAAATACAATTTTGTCCTGCTCAGAACAAAGAGAAGGTTCTTATCTAACAAACTGAAAAGGTTCTTATCACGAAGAGCCGCAGGGCGTCAAAATATATCCACCACAGGTTCATCAAGAGAACTGGGCTTATATTTGACTGGGATACCTTTTGGATCTGATCAGAGTCCCAAAGCAGGGTTAAAACCAAAAGCAGCTGTTACTACAATTAAAGCCAGCCCTGTCTAGCCCGGGTGTATCACGCAGCTTAATTCATCCTTTGATAAGTCAATGAAGGTTTTGGATAGTAACTTGATTCGTTGGAAAAGATTGATCGGCACTGAAACACAAGTCTTTGCGCAATTCTTTTAATATTCTTCTAGTACCAAAATACTTTATATGAACATACAGATATCTTGATTTTGGCCACGTAAATACTTCTCAGTATTTCAGTATTCCTTTTCTTCCATTTTCGTCGAAGAAAACGCGGTCTATTCAGACTGATCTGTTTTTGAATGAAGATCCCGTTTATACTGTTCCGTGCAAGTTTTGAACCGTGACAAAACTGCCGTGGTTCGCTCTTCAATTTCGACCCCGTTTACACTGTGCCGGATAAATTTTATCCGCATTAAAATTAGCTCAGATAGGCATCGCGTTTACACTAGACTTACGCTGTCCGCACGAATTTGAGAGCGGCTATCCAAACAAAATTAGTTCACCTAGGAAAGTGGACTAAACTAGTTTGGAAAGCTATCTGGTACAGTGTAAACGCTTTCATCCGGTTAAATTCTGATTTCTTCAAAGATACTGGACAAGACCTGATAGAAATAGCGCGTTGTAGGACAACTTTGCCAATGTAAAGCTCTATCTTTGGCTGTCTAAGTACAATTCTAATCGTCATTTTCCTCAATTTTCACTTTCAAAAAAATCTCGATTTATGATTTTGGCAGCACAATGAAAGCCTCGGTTGACGAAATACAGCTTCTTTTGAAAAATCTTCCACTATTGAACTTAGGTCGTACCGGTACAGTGTAAAAGAAACGGCTAATAGAACAATTTAGAACCGCGACAGTGTAAACAGTTGAAAACCGTAACGGTACAAAAATTGTCCCGGAACTTTATAAACTGGGTCGAAGACGGAGAATGTTTACACTGCTCGAACAAAATCACTGTAGGTAACCTCATTCTTAAACAAAGCCTCGCCAATTTGGCGCCATTAATAACATTAGAATAAATGAATTCGTATATAAAATCTTTATAACAGCGACTGTCCATTGAGAATTCTCCATTTGACATGGTTAAAGTTGACCCGCCAGAAAGCATATAGGCTGTTGCTGTTGTTAGTGTATTAAAATGTCTCCATTATTGGCGTTGACACTGAAAATGGCACATATTTAATAGGCACCGTTTTCAAAAGTGTCTTTTTTTATAGCAGAGCAAGCCAAAAACGGACAGGTTTTGCTTCCTTTTCATATGGAAACGGAGCAATGTGAACATAGACTTAAAAGCACTCTGTCTTGTCAATCTACCGTTCACAATTGTTAATTATCAGATTGGATACGTAACAATTATGGTATTTAAATGGCCAGCGAAATGCGTAAAGACATAATGTCTTCAAGACACTAAGCGACTTTTAATATTCTGATTTACGGAAACTTGATTCGCTGCAAGTGTTAAGAGAACTAAACTTCACCTCAAAATCTTTCCACTTGCTGTTTTTGGAATAATCTTTGTTGGTTTTTGCACCCAGTACTCAAAATAAACAATTACTAAAAATAATAGTGGTGCAAGAGATAATGGCCTACGAGTTAGTAAAATGGCAAACGAATATTCTTTGACAAAGAAGATAACCTTCAAACACTCTCTCTCCATCACAGTTCTTCATGGTCGTATGATTGCACCTCATACATCATATTCAGACCGCAAAATCGAATACAGTCGAAAGACAATATAATTGCAGATATAATATTTTGTCTATATAAAGTATCAAATGTATATTGTAAATATTTTTGATAGAATATTCTTTTTTTGCAAGAGTCACTGAAAAAAAGCTAATTAGCTTCCAGCAATTTGTTGTTTTCAACGTATATTGAAATGTTTGAGAATTAAACTGTTTTACTTTGAAAGAGAACAGACTTCTTTTGGTTTCACAATAGT